CAGAAGAAATATTTGAAACAAGAATGACTAAGAATTTCCCCCAGTTCCAGGAAGCTCAGAGAATGCCAATCAAGATAAATGCAAGAAAAAAAAAAAAAAAACCCACAACCAACTACCTAGGCGTAACATTTTCAAAGAACAAGGACAACAGTGCAAGACAGTAATAGATGTAGTAGATACTAATCCAATTATATCAGTAATCACTTTGAACATCAATGGTCTAAATACACCAATAAAAAACATAGATTGTCCAAAAAAAAACATAGATTGTCAGAGTGGATCAAAAAACACGACTATATGTTGTCTACAAGAAACTAAATATGAAGACATTTCATATAGATTAAATAAACAGGAAAAGATAACCATGCTAACACTAACCAAAAGAAAGCAAGAGTAGTTTCTGTTTTGGCTACACCACGTGGCTTATGAGGTCTTAGTTCCCCAACGAGGGATTGAACTCTCAGCAGTGAAAGCACAGAGTCCTAACCACTGGACTGCCAGGGAATCCCCAGGAGTAGTTATTTTATTTTCAGACAGAGCAGACTTCAAACCAAGGAAAGTTATCACCAATAAAAAAGGGCACTGCATCATGATAAAAGGAGCAATTCTTCAAAACAACGTTAACTAAAGGAAGCAAAAGCTGACAGAACTAAAACAGATAAATCCACATTACATTTTGATGTTTCAACACTCAACTCTAGGTGACTGAGAAAAAACAAGTAGACAGAAAGCAAGTCTATAAGCCATGAGCAACCCCAGCCAAAGTAATTGTGATTTACAGAGCGTTCTGCTCAACAGAATACACATTCTTTTCACATGCACATGGAACATTTCACCAATATATACCAAATCTTGGGTAAAACAAATCTTTACAAGCCTTAAAGAATTAAAACCGTACATAGTATGTATGCTCTTTGACAATTAGGGAAATCAAAGTAGAAATCAATAATAAAGGTATTTTTTAAATTCTCAAATGTTTGGATACTGGAAAAAACTTTTTTAATTTTTTATCTGCACAGCACACAGCATGTGGGATCTTAGGTCCCCAGACCAGGGATTAAACCCGTGTGCCCTGCAGTGGAAGTGTAGTCTTAACCACTGGACCACCAGAGAAGTCCCATAGACAACAGATTTTGAGATTCATGATTCAAAGAGGAAGTCTTAGGAATTACAAAAAGTTTTAGAAATTAGAAAACTTGCAGAATGAACATGAAAATATATCAAATTTGTGAAAACAGCTAAAAGAGTTCATAGGGAATTTTATAGCACGAAATGCTTATAGAAAACCTAAAATTCAGTCATCTACAATTCTACCTTAAACTAGAAAAGAATGAACTAAACCCACAGCAAAGTCAATATAATTGAAAAAGGAGATAAGAGAAATATCAATGAAATAAAAACTGATTCTTTGAAAAGAAAAAAAATTAGCAGATTAACTCCATCTGGAATGACCAAGGAAAAAGGACACAAATGACCACTGAGGAAGGAGAGAAGGGCCCGTTGTGATGAGCTCCAGTGACAGCATTACTGGTGATTGCCCAGATCTGGAAACACTCCAAACATCCTTCAGTAGGTGAAGGAGTAAACAAGTTATGCTAAGTGGAGCCCCACTTGGAAATCGAAGGAAGAAGCTACTGAAACAACAGGTGAATCTCAGAGGCATTTCCCATGGAATGAAGACTCCAGACTCAAGATGCAGACTCTGCATGCTGGGGGTTGAACTGTACCCTCTTCCCCACTAAATATGCTCAAGGCTTAACCCTGGTTGAGATAAATCAGTGGAGACAGGAAGGATGTTTGTGTTTGCAGAGGCTGGAGGTTGGGAGAATGGGCAGTGACTGCCACTGGGAATGGAGCTTAGGTACTGGATGATGGAAGGTTCTGGAACTAGGGAGACTGCACACCACTATGAACGTATGTACTCAGTGCCGTGAACTGTACTCTGTAAAATGATTTAAATGGTCTATTTTATGCATACTGTACAACTTTTAAAAGTTTTACCTGGAAGGTGGGGGTGAAAAATATGATTTACATGATGAGCTTACAAATCTGACCCAACACAGCCGCTGAGCAAAACAAGGGGTTGAGGGGTTCAGGGGCTGGAGCATAGAGTGGAGCTTAACCTGTGTTCTGCCCAGGATCCCTGGGGGATTTGCTAAGGGAGGAAGCAAATTCATCCACTCAACACCGGCCCCAGAGGTGGCTGCTGCGTCTGACCGAGTCAGGCACACCTACGCCTTGAAATGACTGCAGAAACCGGGCTGCAGAGGCTGTGTGTCAGCCCTTCACATCACAACTGAAAGCACCTTGAAGCGGAATTTCAAAGAAAATGTCTCCAGCTGGATTTTCTTTGGAGCCTCAATCAAAACAGACTATACGCTGGCCATCGTGTACAGAGCAGATTTGGGAGACTGCCTGGCCTCTTACAGACGTCCTGCCCCTGCCCCTAGTCTTGATCCTGACTGGGCTGCGATGGAATTAATCTCCCTGAAGCTGTGAGGTTGCTTGGGGCGGACTCAGCCCTCAGGTGCCTGACAGCCGTTCCATCCTCCCTTGTGGACCATTTTCAGAAGGCTTTGAATGGTGTCTTTCAAGACACAGGCTGACCTTCAAAAGAGATGTTACAGTGAATGATTTTAACATGAAGAACTCTTCAATGGAGCAACAGGAGACAACTCTTTTCTTGGAATTAGAAAAGTAATTTGATTGGTGGGTCTTATTCATGCTCATAGTGTTAAGATGGTCTGACTGTTCTGGGCTGAACTGGTAGCGGGTGTCCATCTGCAACCTCAAGGCCACGTCCAGCAGGCACTGGAAAGACAGGCACTGTCAGCACAGACGCTGTCCCCTGGACATGAGAGTCCCAAGTCCAGCCCTTCTAGTACGTGTCAGAACAGCAGGAGTCACTGTGATTTTCCGGAGTCACACATCTGCTCTGTAGATCAAGACATCTTCTTCCATAGCACCTGTCCAGGAAAGGAACTGGTCCTTTGAGGTAACTAGCCCTCATCAGCTCACACCCCCCAGAAGACAAACTCACTGTCATGCAGGTTGTACTCGATGACAGAGCTCTGACTGGTGGCCAGGATGAGGACTCTATACAGAGTCTATAATATTCCACCAGCATCTGTGGGCAGCAGTCAGAACAGATGCCTAGGTGAAAACAGCCTTTATGCATGGTGACATTTCTCATAGATAAAACTATATATATATATACATATATATATAAATTTCACTAGGTGTTGCTGCAGATCTTTTTTGTAAAAACCCACGGTATGTTTCTATTTTGGTGGCTGTGGTATAAATAATTTTAAAATGGATGCCAAAACTATAAAATTACTAACCCGAAATCCACAATGCCAAAATGTGGCAAGGACTTTATAAGAAAATTACAGATGAGTATTTCTAATACACATATACACACACAAACCCTTAAATATACAGCAAGTCAGATTTGGCAGTAACTAATAACTGAATAACAAGAGAAGGACAACACACCACGACCAAGTCGGGTTTATCTCAGGATTGCAGAGTTGGTTGAACACTCAGAAATCAATGTGATTCACCACATGAACAGAGTAGGAAACCATCTTACAAAACCACGTACCCATTGGCAGCAGCATGAAGCTAAGTGCTCACACCTCCTTCAACTTGGTGCTCTCAGCAGCTCATCTGCCCCTCGTTTTGACCCCACCCAACTGCATCACAGCGCAGACTGTTAAGGTGGGTCCAGAGCCCTTCAATGCTTAAAGTGAGAAAACCCTGCATTCTGCAGGGAAACGTAACAGAATCCACAACATACATACCCAACATCCAAGATACAACCCACAGTACTAGGACACGCAGGTTAATGTGACTCATACACAGAACAAAAGAATCAATGAAGACTTGCTCTGAGAAGATCCGAATGTGAGAATGACCAAAGATTTTGACTCCTGTACTATACATATGCACAAGGATGTAAAGATTGTTCACGTACATGAATAAATGAAAAAACTTAGTTAAGAATTAGAAACTAATTTTAGAACTGACAGATTCATCTAAAGTTTATATTGTAAAGTCTTTAAAGAAGAGTGGGCAGTAACAGGTCATTTAGTGGTACTCAATGACATGATCCTATTTTTTTAAACAGGAAAAAATAGTTTAAAAACTGTATGAACAGCCTTAATAATCAGTGAGTGAGATAATATAAGGTCTTATACATGTGTACTTGAATCTGAACAGAAAAGAGACAACAGCAGAATTATTTGAGGGAATGGCTAGGAAATTCCACAAATTTGATGAAAAACATAAATCTAGATTCAAGAAGCTAAGCAAGCCCCATGCATGATAAACACAAAGAAAACCAAATGTAAACATATCATAGTTTCCAAGTTGTAATTCCATAAAATAATTCTTATCCTCTTGAAACAGAGGACATGGGAAGGACAAAAGGAAGACTCACAGCTTCTTTCCACACAAGTTGAATAGCTTTGCCATTAAAACAAACAAACATGAATGACAGTGCACTTATGGTGTCCTCTGTGATATTAATTACTGATGGGGAGAAAATACTTATCATATCCTGATACATTCTGTCCCTCAGCTCTTCAGAAACAGAAACAATCATTTTTAAGTTTTTGGAATTCCACTAAAATTTTATTTTTAGCTGTTATTCCATTTTCTTTCAAGTTCATCCGGGGAAAAAAATGCTTAAGATCAGCAGAGCCCTGTAATCAGAACATAGTTCTTCATGAAGCAGTACAGTAAGTCCCTGGGTAATAAATGAATCAGTTGACAGATGGAACTGTAGTAGGGCAACGGCGCATCCAAAGTAGAAAAGAACGTTAAGGCGGATGAGACCCCACAACCTGGGGCGGAAGGAGGAATGGGATTGAGTCACCCTTGGCTTGAGCAGTGCCTGACCATCTGGTGCAGAAAGATGAGGCCCTGTCCTCATTCATTACATGCTGGGAAATCAGCCCCAGACTGAATGATGAAAATAAGACCCGTACAATGAACCCAGTGAAAAGCGTTTTGTTTTAATCATGAGCCAATACTAGAAACCATAAAGGAAAAAGGCTGATCAATCAGACTAGGTAAAAATTCAAGATACACAGCAAAGTAAAACCCCTCAAACTGAAGCAAACACAAAGTGAAAAAAATGACATGGGGTGATTATTTTTAAAGTCCTTATAAACAAAATACACCAACAGAAAAATAAGCAAAGGCACAAGTAAGCAATATACAAAATAATTTCACATGGCCAGCAAATATATTCCAAAATGCTCAACCTGGCTAAAAATTGGAGATCTTTTTTCTCCATCAAAGATTAAAAAGCTTGTGCTCAGAACCTTCTGGTGAGGATGAGGTGTCAGTTATTGAAGTTGACACAATCATGGCAGGCATGATAAATCTTACACACACAGATCCTCTGGCCTGGCAATTCCAGTTCTATTATCCAAAGAAATAGATGGATAAGTGTGTAAACATGTATGCACAAGGATTTCCATTTCCAAATGTTTATAAAAGCAAAAACTACAAGTAGGCATCTTTGGGCAATTATAGTACGTCCTGACACGTTCTTGCATTGTGAAACATTAAAAGAATGGTCCCAATAATGCGACTGAGAATCACAGACTTCACCCCCAAAGGCATGGGGGTTCTAAAGGTCATCGTCTCTGGAGGCAACTCAGGGTGATGTTGATTCCCACTTCATATTCTTCTATATGTTCACCTTATAGTGAACATTTTGTATTGTGATTAGTATTTTATGATCCATTTGGAAGACTAAAATTTCAGCACAAGTTCCAAAAGTACTAAAATTGATGAAATACTTTTACAGACAGAAAAGAGGCCAGGGACCAAGTTGTGTGAAATCACCTACAAGTTTGGTTTGGTTGCAGAAAGGAAATGCAAACATGAGAAGCTTTGGTCTCACAAGCTGCAAAGTAAGGAGGGGAGTGGGCCCCACCCTCCCAGGCCATGGTGAGCACTGAAGACTAATGGGACAGACGAGCCGGGGGCGTGGGTGGGGGCGAGGCTGCAGGGCTAGGAGGGCTCTGTCCCCACCAGACACACTGGAGCCCTCCCCCCAGCCCCCACCGCCCGTCCACAGCCTGGAGAGCAGGCAGGAGAGCGCAGTGCGGGGGCCCCAAGAGATGGCTCCTGAATGTTCACACAGACACTTGGGGGACACACGAATCAGGCTGATCCAGCCCAGCCGCCAAGTGGGGCTTGGGGGAGCCCTGGACACGAGACTCTCACACCGGCCCCTTCGCACCCACGTTCAGGGGCCGGCAGGATTCAGCCAAGAGGGGAAGTAGAGGTGGCCCTGGCTGAGAACAACATGCTTTCCCTACATTAGGCAATAAATCAGTGGTTATCAGTTTGAGAAACCAAGTCTGCTGCTGTCCTTAAATGAACCGAGGACGGTTCACCCAACAGCCCACTGGCCAGGGACAGCTCTTCCCGCCACCTCCCTAAGGAGGGTGGACAGTGCTGTGCCGCCTCGGCCTTCCAGACCTCAGCCTGCCCTCCAGGAGCCTCATCCAGGGCACTTCCCAGGCAAGATGCGGTGTTGTCACCACCCCGAGGGGAAACCCCCGAGGAGACAAACCAGAGCCTCTCAATGGGGGTCGCTCACACACCACCCAGGTGTCCCTGTCCTGTCATTTTACAAAGCATGCAAGGCTGTGCCTGGGGCGGCAGAGCCTGCACCTGCTCCCACACTGTGGACTCTTAATGGACGTGCCAGAACATCCTGGATATGGAATGTTCCCGGGCATGGCCTCTCCCAGGGCCAGTGAGCTGGTTTCTCACTCAGCCCAGCTTTCCTCACCAGCTTGCAGCATCTCCACTCACCATGACACCAACCTTTGCAAAACTCTTTTCCTACTTTAATGTGTATTTGGATACACTAAAGGCATCATACTGGGGAAAATATAAACTAGTGATCATACAGATGTGAAATACCCCCTCTCACTCCTGGGCCCAAAGTTAAGGCTGTTGTTAGAGACACTGATGGGTGGCCCAACACCACGCTTTCCCCCAGAGACCTCAGGCAGAGCCTCCTGACCAGAGACAACGGACACTGCTAGGGAACACCACTCTCCTCTCTGCTCCCAGAGCTGGGCTGCCACCGGCCCCCGGCCCCCACGCGGCCTCGGATAGTTCAGGCCATGAAGCACACCGGGCCGTTCCTGCAGCCTGCAGTCCAGTCCAACAAAACGGGCTATGGTTTTATAACATACAATTCTCTTCCCTTGACGGGTACAGAATACAACAAAATTAGCCACGTTTATTTAAAAGAAACGTTACAAATAAGTGTGCAAAATTAAATTTCATGATTAAATACACATAAAAGTAACATGCATACTTTACATTGAAATCCACAGACAAAGTTAGTTGATTATATGACAGTAAAAGAACTGGCAAACTGAGAGCTTGCAGCTGTAGATTTTAATGTTTGCAACCTGAAATCAAAACAAAATTAAGTTTAAAGGGAATTTAAGAAAATTAAATATATACCTCAAGTAGTACTAACAATATAGAGCCCATAACCTATTTTAGTTACCAAATGTTAAAAAAAAGTATGTGCCTCTCATTCCCAGAATGTTAGTGTGCAGCTATTCTTAAAAACAGGGAGAGAAGACGGTGAGAGAGGGAAGTGGAAGCGGCCGGCCAAAGCCCACAGGACCGGGCGCTGCTTTGTTCAGACGCCGGTTTCCCTTCGTATCCTCCGAATTAAGCGATGCGTTCTTTTGTGACTCAGTTTTAAAGTCTACGCGTTACTCTGTTCCCTACGAGTAAAGGGGAACTCCCTTTGACCCAGTGTTGCCAGGAGGCCACAGGTGCAGTTCACGGGGTAGGCCTGGCGCTGCCTCAACTTCAATGGCGCCAACAAGAGGGGGACATGTGATATGTGGCTCCTGAGGGAGACACCAAGCCTGTGAGCTCTAAACTTTCTTCAGTTTAGACGGGAGAAGGGCTTCCTCCCTCCTCCTCCTAAGGCTGCCGGTGTGATAATCCCACTTCTATCTGGTGAGAAAGAACCAAGATTGCACGTGTGTTCACCTCTCCATCACAAACTCAGCAAAAAGGATGGAATCTGGCGCCACAAATGAATTTCACGTTGTCCCTCCTTTTCTCAACGTGCCCCCAGTTTGTCCAGAGCCCTGGCTGCAGGTGGCGGATGCGGCAGAACCACTGAAGCGAATGGTGAAGCCGGCGGTCAGGCGGGAGTGTCCCTGTGCCCCATTGATTCTTCCTTTAACACTGGACTCAGGAGGCCTGGCTTCGGAAAACAGCCATGAGTGGCTTCACGACAAGGTCCCGGGCCGTCCCTCCGGCCCATCATCACCAGCCCCAGGAGCTCGAGGGGCCGCTGGGCGCCTAGGGGCCACGGTGCTCGTGCTCCCGGTCAAGGGTCAAAGCTTGTCGTCCGTCATCTCCAGGAACTGCGCATACACGTCCCGGACGCACTCTCCCTTGGGGTTGAACAGGAACTTGTAGTAGCTGCCGTCCGCACAGATCGCTGGGCAGAGGAGACTGCGTCACTCAGCGTGAAAAGCAAGCAGCCCGCACTGAGCCGCCCTCGGGATCTGCGCGTGGTGGGGGCACGCTCGGCCGAGAACCCACCGTTCTGGGGGGAAGAGCTGCATCCACTCAGCTAGTGCAGCAACGGGAGAACCCTCTCAGGTCATTGGTTCCAAGACCAAATGATCTGCCCTACCAACTTCCCAGGAACCCCCAGATGGCAGGGAGCCGCATGAACCCCGAGAGGGATATTCGGGACCCCCAGGAGAGAGGAAGGAACACCAGCGAGGCTGGCATGGCACTGATCACACCCGGGGCCACTCTCCCCCAGAAGGACCACTTACCAATGACAGCGTTTGGCTCTGTTCCAAAGGCACAAATGCATGGAGAGCCTGAGGGGACCTGAAACTTGGAGAAACTCCACTTGGAACTGAAGTATTTTGGAAGGAAACTGGCCGATGCCAAACTGTGAGGACAAGGAAGAAAAGAAAGGAAGTTATGGTTACATGACAAAGTTAGAGACACAGCTCTCCTTACTGTCGGCTTAGCCTTAATGATTTAAATTCTATTTTTGCTTTTAATTATTATTTTTCACACAAAAATAAACTGTTACAAATGGCTCTATTAGAAACCCAGAAACCATCACCACCAGACAGGGCATAGGGTTCTACTGCCACCAAATCGACAGTCTGAACAGCAAACATGAGGATGCCTGTTAAGAGTTCAGGACCAAGCTCTACCCCTCTAGAAGGTGTCTGGAACCTCGTCAGATTTCCTAAGGAGCTAATGGCAGGGCGAGTCGTGATGCCAGTCTTAGCATCAAGTAATCTGCACTGGTTTTTAGAAAATCAAATGAATGAACAAGGAGAAGCTCCTGCCTGTGATTCAGACCCAATGGGCCAGCACTCAGGCAACTGGAAAACCCACCTTGATTGTTTATTCCTTTTCGGATCTTCGGCTGCAAAAATGTGCACCGTGCCGTGGTCACTGGACACACAGATGAGGGAAGCGTCCTGATTGAAGTTAATGCTGCAGATAAAGCAGATGAAGCTCAGGTCTCGGTCTTGTGTGGACACAGGAGTGAGTCCTTACCTCAGCTCCCCTACTCCAACACCCCCGTGGTCAGGACAGTCATTTTACCAGAGTCAAAACCAGGGCACAGCCCCTCCTTAGGTGCCAACAGCAGACCACCTTGCTACCCCAGGGGCCCTGAGGCCACCCCAACAAGCTGCCCGGGAGAGAAAAACTCCCCTCCAATGATCTGGCCCCCGAGATGGGGGGGTGTCACTTGGACTGGCTGGGTGGGCCCCAGAGCAGACAGATGGGAGAGTCGGTTGCATGACAGGCCCCACGGACGCTACCTGCAGATACTGGCTACATTTTTATCACTTAAGCCCAGGTGCAGCTCCACACACTTGCAAAAGCCACAGACACAAGGACTGAGGTCCTGCTCAAGAAGGGGTGCAGCCCCTCAGAGCTACAGACACTGTGGGACGTGGCAACAACCACCACGGAGAGGCCAGGTCAGCCTCATTGGAGGCTGAAGTGACTAGAGACGGGCTAACAAGGCCTCCAGTGTCTGCCTGAAGACACTACCAAAAAAATAAGCTGGAGGGTCAGTGGAGAGATGAAATAAAACAGGCAAATTCTGACAAATGCAGGATGACAGGTCCATGGTAATTGTAATATTCTACTTCTGTGTATATTCCCATGACAAAGAGTTAAATCAGCAGTAATAAAGTGAACTAAAAACCCAGCCCCTTCCAGTACAGCAGCCCCCCGCCTGCCTCATGTGGGTGGTCCTGCCTCTCCAGATCACACAGGGCCCCTTCTCTCGGGTGAAACAACGTGCTTTCTTACCAATAAATATTAGCTGCTTGAGATCCTCTTCGTAGTTCCTGGATTAAATGCCCTGATGAAGTATCAAATATTCGTATAAGGGTCCCCTTTGAAAAACAGTGAAGTGTTTCATTATCAAAGATTCACAACTTTTTAATTTTTTTTGAAATGATTTTTATTCACAAACCCATGAGCCCATCGGAGTCTTTCCCAAACTCGCCCACATAACCTAAAACTCAACTTTCCCCCTGCTGTCACTGAGAACGAACCGAAATCTCTTTAGTCTGACAGCAGCCAGCAGGGGCTGAGAGCAGGTCAGGGAGCCCAGGGCCCAAGCCCACACATGGCCCTCTCGGAGTCCCACACACACGCTCCGCTGGCAGACACCCAAGGCTGTCCGAGGCCCCGAGAGCTGTCAGTTCACTCACCACCCAGGGAAATGGCATCTTAATTCTAGCTCCCACAGCCAGTCACAAAGAGAAACACTAATTCCACTGCCAAACAGATGGAGCAAAACTGAACAAAATGACTTGTGGACCCATAGCTGACTTTTGTCAGCTATGGCTTGCTTTCTGAGCAAAGGTGGCTAAGAACCTCAGGGAGTTGGGATCTTCAGGGAAGGGCTAGTTTGCCAGGAGCCCACATCCTATAGCAGGCGAGGTCACTCTAGAGGCATGACCTCCAGTGGGACAGGGACACCTACTTACTTTCTCAGAGGCGGTCGCAATTCTTGTTCCCTGCAGATTGAGAGCAATGCAGCTCAGGACGCCCTCGTGGGCAGGAATGTCCACCGGTGGCTTCTCGGTGCTGGCCAGGTCCACAAGCTGCACGTGGCCCGTGTGCGTGCCCGGGAAGGCCAGGAGTGAGTTGTTACTGTTGGGGCACAGGACACAGAGACCTAAAGAGAGACAAGAAACTTGTCAAGGACTCAGGACCATGTCGATGTTTCTGCTTTTAAACAACCACACCTACTCTCTGCCTTCCAGGTCTCACGGAAAAGTAAGATTTAGTCACAAAATCCTTTCCCAGTAAAGGGCAGCAGGGAACCAAGCAGAGTTTGCTCCCTCGAGATGGCTTGATAATTGGAAACATTTGCTGAACTTATTATTAAATATACTTTATCAAATGTCTGTCTTTTGGGAGAATGCAAAATTATAAAATCTAAAAATGAATCCGTTAACAAACACATTAAAAAAATCCTGAAACTCAACAATAAATTTAACGATAGATGGAAAACACTGTAACACACTGCAAAGGAAAACCAGAGACCTGGTGAGTGGAAAGCTGTCCTATGACCTCAGGCTGGAACCTACCTTCATCCATCTACAGAGTAAGTGCAATCACAGTAAAAATCTCTGCAGGCTTTTCTGAAGAAAGAGACAAGCTTGTCACCAAGTTACAAGGAAAGTAAAAGGTCCTAGAATAGCTCCTTCAATTCTTATACCACAGGAACAAGATCAGAGGACTTATTCTACCTAATATCAAGAATTATCTTAAAGCTCCAGAAATCAAGGTGGCCTGATACTGGCATAAGGACAGAAACACAGACCACTGGAGCAGAATAGAGTCCAGAAAAATCTTACACTTTACTTTAAAAAAAAAAAAAAGGTATCAAAGTAATCCAATGCAGAAAAAATAGTTTTTAAACAAATGGTAAAGGCACTTCTCTAAGCAAAAAAGAAGAGGTCACAAGTAGAAACATGAGAACTGTTAAAGGATAAAGCTCACTGGTTAAGGCAAATATAGAGTAGTAGTACCCACGAAGTCAGTGGGAAGGTTAAAAGACAAAAGCAGTAAAATCATCTACATCTGCAAGGAGTAAAGGATACACAAAAAGATGTAAAACACAATGCCAAAACCAGAAATCGTGCGGAGAGGGAAGTAAAATGTAGGGCCGTTAAAACACATTTGAAATTAAGAGGTGAGCCATTTAAAATAATCACACACATACACATTGACTGCTATATATAAACCTCATAGTAACCACAAACCAATAACCTATAATAGATACACACACAAAGAAGAGAAAGGAATCCAAATGGAACACGAAAGAAGAAAACAAAAGGAGGAATGAAAAAGACCTACCAAAACAACCTCAAACAACATGTGGCAATAAGTACACAGCTATCAAAAATTACTTTAAATGTACGTGGACTAGATGCTCCAATCAAACACAGAGAGTGGATAGACACCTGATGGAATGCAACACAGCCATAAAAAAAGAATGAAATCCTGCCATCTGCAACAGCATGGATGACATGGAGGGTGTTTTGCTAAGTTAGAGAAAGACAGATACTGTATGTTAACACAATGTGGAATCTAAAGAATAATTATAATATGACCCAGCAATTGTACTCCTCAGTACACATGCAAGAAAAATGAAAAAACAAATATCCACATAAAGACCTGCATGTAAACATACATAGCAGCTTCTATTCCTAACAGCCAAAAAATCTGCCGTGGATCAACAGCTGTGGTCACCCATATGATAGTATGTTACTCAGCAATAAAAATGAACAAAATAATAACGCACACACACACACAAAAATAAAGGAATCTAAAACATATTAAGCTAAGAGAAAGATAGCAAAGATATCTGAAAAGGCAAAACCTGAGGGTCAGGTGGGAAACGTGCCGACTGGGAAGCCTCTGGGGTGATGGGCTGTTCTGCTCTTACTGTGGCAGCAGCTACATGACTGCTTCCAGTGGCTGAAGTTTATCACACGAGACACTTAAAATGAGTGAGTTTTATGTAAAGTATACCTCAATAAAGCTAGAAGAAAAAACCAAAAACTTTAAAAGCAAAGTAAAGATGATACAATGAATAACAAAGCCACATGCGAAGAAGAAAACAAGAAGGAAATCTCAGAACTTAATAAAACCATGGATTCCAGGCTCACCACAGAGCTTCTGAATGGCTGACAGTCACTATGAAAAGTCCCAAGAGAGACCCAGAAGCTTATGGTAAGAGGCAGGGTCTCAGTTCCACAGTGAGGAGGCCAGGCTGTGACCCAGGGCAAGTTCACAGTGGGGTGGGGGGAGCTTGCACCTCTCAGACCTTTCCCCAGCACCCCAGATGCTCCAGGACCCACCACGAGGGTGACGTCACTCCAAGACCACCCGCAGGAGAGGCGCCCAGCATGGGTCTGCATCCCACCTGGTCTGGACTCATGAAGCCCATTTCCACCATCCGTCCTCCTCTGGATTCTTACCTTTAGGGTTATAGCAGGTTTCAAAGACGTGTAACTGATGGGGATTATGTGTGAATGTAAACACTTTGATCATAGAGTCCAAAACCACCACAATTCTGGAAAGAAGAAAACACCATCAGAATGTTCTCTTCCCCAAAGTGAAACTCAAATATTTTGTGGCTTTTGTTTTTATTATTTGGAAACAGAAACACTCCAACAACCACATACAAGAGGATCATTCCCATTCCTGCCCCCGGGAGTGGGGCAGCAAGGTCTGCAGAGCAGGTCTGCAGGGAGCCGGAGGGCAGAGGCTGACACTAGGCCTGAGCCCCTGCCACCCGGGAAGAGGCAGGTACAGCCCATGGTGCGGTGGTGGGGTGGGGGGCATTCTCATCAACCATTCTATCTACAGCGTAAGAACCAAGCAGGACACAAAGTCAGAAATTCTATCTTAACACACTTTTAGACATGTCTTGACAATTCAGAAATGTGAGAAAGTAGATCCTTCATTTGGCTCCAGGTCTTGCATTACTACGAGCTCTAAATGTTGACATTCCTGGAAGATACAAGTCTACCTACAAGTGCAGGATGACAGACTCCATTCACACCCATGCCACAAAACAAACCTAAGCTTTGCCCCACTGCAATCAAAATACTAGGAAAAACTCCTGTGTTCTACTAAACACGAGGGGCAATGTCTGCAAGAGACTGGCTACTTTCAACAGGTGAGATTCAATGACACTCTCTGTGAGCAGTTCCTGAGTTCTCCTTTACCTTCAAACTGAAACATTTATGAGGCATGATGTGGACAAGCGTGGGCTAAGAGGGAGGCAATTCAGGGGTCAAAACTCATGTCCTCTGTCTGCACCTGACGGGTAGGACGGTCCCCCTGAAGGACCGAGAGCTGGAGGGCAGGGCCAGCCCAGGGCAAGTCCACGGAGGTGCACCCACACCCGCTGACTGCTCACCGCCAAATGATTCCAGGAGGCAAATGAAACTCATTGCCTTTCTTATGTTCTTGAGTCAAAAACTACAGCCTTATTTTTTATATATCATTTTCCCAAACACATCTCTTCCTTCAATATAAAATTATTTCAGCCAACTTCAGAGAAGGTGACTACTCTACCTTGAAAAATGAGACACCAAACCTACCTATCTCGCCGTAATTTGGCAGCCTTGACTTCGGTAGAAAATTCTATTTCAATCACAGTTTTCTTCTTCAGGTCATCCCAGATCATCACTGAAACAGGAAAGAATTCATGAACACGACAACGAACAGGCCAGGGGCTAGCTAGCTAGAGGCACTCCTGAGGGAGTCTTCACATCAGGAACATCTGATAGGGGTGGGGGGCAGTTATCCTCTTCATCTGTACATAAAGAAACTGAGGCCGAGAGAAGGCAACCTGCCCAAGGTCACACAGCAAGCTGACAAAGGGCAGAGGAGGACTGGGATCTAAACAGTGTGGGCCCAGAGTCTTTTACCACCAGCCACACAGTCTTTCTCTAAGAAATAAAAATTACAGACCAGTTTACAAAATAAACTCCTAGATATAAAGCTCTCCCAGGTCCTGCTGCTCCCTTCCGCCCCCCACTTCCCTCTGCAGCATGCCTGCTCACACCTCAGGTACCCAACCTCTGCCTCTCGACACACACACACACACTCGAACCTCCTCCCTGGTTTTCAGGCAAACTTCTCTCTACCTCTCTCTTCTCGGTTCCATTAGACTGAGCCAAAAAGCAAGCCCAATCACAGGTACCAACTGCTGGAGATAAACCTGGACCAAGAAAAGAAAGGTCTGTTTTTCTTTTTTTATTTTTGAAAGCGTTGTTTCATGAGGAAATCAGACACATAAAAACCCAGGCCAGGGTTCTTCGGCCCTGACTGTTCTCACTCTGCTTCAAGCTGGAGAATGCCTTCTGCTCACACCACAAGCTTCCATCAGGATGGATCAGCAGTTTACGTCCCAAGGGCTGAGACAACTTCAGACAACCCTGGAGGATCAGGAGTGTGTGTCCAGACCTCTTCTTTCCTCCACTTGAAAAGCTGGGTATGAGGCATGTGTGGTGAGGGAAATAAGCTCCCTCCACAGTCAGGTCACAGCTGACTGAGCATGGAAGGGAAAGAATGTTCCCCTCAAGGTCTCAACACGTGACCAACAACAGTCCAGGGGGTGGGATTCAGGGTCAGTTTTGTTAGAATGGGTAAGTGTCATCTAAGTTTCAAACCAAGGAAGAACTGAATATCAGCCTACCAGAACTGCCAAAATTATTAACATAGAACGTATTTACTATTGAATAGGTTAGTTATAATTCTTAACCACTCAAAGATGAAGCAGAGAATTATCCTCTTGCTCCTTGAAACACCATCTAAGATAAACTTCTCCCGTCAGCTTCTCCTTAAAGGGCACCAACATATCAGTGAGTAGAACAGTTACCTTATTGAAAATAACATCATTCCAAAACCAAATGGTCACAACTCTTCTGGGCAAAGGACACTCTACTCTTGAACACAAAAGGCGATTCAATGAACTTCCTCTGGCTCTGCAACCTAATACTAGAACGTCTGTAATTCAACATGAACCAGCTCAAACCAGACAGAAGCCCAGACAGAAGGATGTCAAGGGTATCATAAAAACAGGTGAACCCCATTTTCAGAAACGTTTGGAAACAGTGTCATGAAATGCCAAATGCAACAGCATGAATTTTCACTCAGAAAACAAAAGTGACTGGACACAATGACTTCGGTAGTGAGAAAAATCCAAGGACTCCAGTTAATGCCAACTCCCTGTGGCCTCTGAAAGTTGTGAGCTGCTTTGCTGCAGGGAACTGGAAATTTAAAATGTACTGGGCAAGATTCTGTCTTTTAATAATATAGTTGTTAATATCAAAATCAGTATTTCAAAATTCTGGACTCCTAAAAAGGAAAGGGCCTCTCTGCTCCCAGAACAGCACCCTGTCTGGACCCAGCTGGTCACCGTGACAACCAGTCTCCTCCAGTCCTGTTTTATTCTGTGCTCACAAACCAAAGAAGCTAGATTCTTTACACTGTAACACCATGTATCCTAACTGGCAATTATGAAAACATTTAGAAGTAATTTTGACATTACTGAAAACACCTACTTTTAACCTTAGGTAAGTTTAATAAAGACCAAGTTCTTTTCTTAAAAATCACCTTTAGCACACTACAAAAAGCTTACATTTTACTCAAAATGTTCAGGTAGAAAATTGCTTTCTTCTAAATCTGTAAAATTCCTGAGACTCTCTTACTTCAGAATTTTTTTTTTTTTTTTTTTTTTACTGAGACTAAGATGCTACAGGTGAGAGACCCCAGATTATCCAACCCACTGCTTCCTTGGGGGTGGGGAGCAGTGACCCCCTCTCCCCCAACAGTGCCACAGGTGGGGCCAGGCTCCTGACTCGTCACCAGTGATGGATGAAATTCTTCATATGACAAAGGCTGATCCAGCAGCAGGATCTGTGCCTAATTCCCACGGAGCCCAGGTCAGGTAATTCCTGCTCCACTGCGAGACCTGCCCTTGGCCCCAGCACAGCTGCAGGACGGCCACTTCTGGGGGCCCTCTTCCAGGACGCACAGCCACAGCCCTGCCCATCCACGCCACGCCGGCAACGACCTGGACAGCAGCCAGGCTTCCTGCCCTTCGGCCCATGTTACCAGGGCGAACCCTCACTGAGAGTGGGATCCCTTCCCCACATCACATCCACACAACCTGCCAGGCTGCACTGAGAAACTGCCAGTCAGGCCCAAACAGAATTCTGTGCGTTTCCATGCCCGCCCTCTTTCTTTACTTCACGGTCTCAGGCAGATCTTCAGCTCACCCCCAACCTTTATTCTCTGTAGGGAGACCTCCCTTGCTATACTCCTTTCCTTTCCCACCAAGCTTTGAAAGAGAGTGGTCTCCATGGCCCCTGACATGATGGAGCTTGTCACCAGTGGGCCCCAACTCAACAGTCCCCTAGGGCGGCAGTGGTCACCCAGGCCTCCTCCCGTCTCTAGCATCTGCCTGATGCCCGCACTCACTTTCCTCTTTTGCTTCTTCTGTGAACACAGCTCCCCTTTCTTTTCTTCCAACTGCCGCGTCTGCTGAGCTTATTCTTAACTGCTTCCTGAGACTGTTCCTGAGAACTGCTGGCGTTGCTTTCCCAATCACACCCTCACCTGGCATCTGAAGCCCCGGGGTCTGCCCCTACCTTCTCCCCGTCCACCTGCCCCTCTTCCCCTGCTCTACCCTCCTTCACTGGGTTTCTTCCTTGTGCCCTGAACGACACCTACATTTACAGACACGTGATAGTCAGCTGAACTAGTAAAGTTTGTGTTTCTCCCTTACTTTCAAAGAGCCACACCCTTTACACTGCCGTCTCTTTGAACACAGGCTCACACATGCATACCAGGAACAACACTCTTCAACCCAGAGCCCAGCTGTTCTCGGTTCTACGCGTTTCCATGAGTTCATGGCTCTCTGCAGAAGTCGCCTCCCCACACCTGGCTTTCAATGAAACTCACAGCACAGAACATCCACCGCAGAAGAGCACCCAGGACAAAATGTGGGTGGAGGCCCCCATCCAGTCAACCCGAGTGAAAAGCAGGTGCTCTCTCTCCATGGGGAAAAGTGACTCTGGTCATATGTTTCTTCTGGGAACAGCAGAGGACACAGCACTCTTTCTGGATGCTTCTGTCCCTTCAGGAGTCACAGGGCCACCAGGGGAGATCCAGTGTGGCCAGAGACACAAAGATACTTTATAAAGTTCAAGATGGGACTACACGTGAGATGCATTATCAAATGCAGGATTATTTTACCTACCTTTGTTTGGAGGGTATTTTGGCTTTTTCCCACCACCAACTAAAGCTAAATAGTTGCAGCGAAACAACATTTCAATATGGCCAACTCCTCCTTCTAGAAATTCTGAAATGATAAAAAGAAGTCAGTATGTATATTTTACATTAAAAAAAAAAAGATAAAAATGGTCAGCATTTGATTTTTAATCAGCAATCTGTATCTATGATCAGTAATGAAAATAGTGACCAGCTAGAAAAATAATTAGCTTCAAATCTCTCAGCATCAAGAACTGTATTTTTATGTATAAACACTGATCACCTAAGAAGCCAATATAGCAAAATGTATGAAATATCTGAATTCATAATTTAAAGTGCAGCAAAGTATGCTGAGAAAGCATCTCAAATGGTCTGATGCAAAAGCTGGAATTCCTTTTCACCACTTTTAAACACTTCTTCCTCTGGAAGTCCAAAATGTTCACAAATGTTCACAAATTACGTGAAGGGGAGTATGTCAGCAGATTTTCAGGTGTGCTCCATGACAGAAGGAAGCCCAATACTCAGGGGAACAACAGAACCCCCACGAGGAGTGTGGGCAGTCAGAGGAGCACACTGCGCTCCGAACGGTTCCCGTCACACTGGGCGCCCCTACCCTGGCCCCTCAGCCCCGACTGGTCTGCCCCAGGCTCCTGGGGCAGTGAGGGTGCAGCAGAGGGCAAGCAAGGAGCCCAGACCTTTGAAAATCGGAAGTCAGCCTAAGAACTGACTCCTGCCTGTCTAGTCGGAGGCACACAAGATGGACCCAAAGTCCAAAGGCTCACTTGAGAAGTTTCAAACTCAAGGCCTAGTAGAAACCCTAGAAAGGACTCTGTACTTAATACTATCCACAAGGAACACAGCTCTCCTTATAAACAATTTACTGTCCTATGACACACAAGCCACCTCAAGCAATTCTGGCTCTAACAGAAAGTGGCCACAGCCCAAACTCAAAGGACGACGACGCTTCAGTCCTCAAACCGCTCCCTGCTGGTATGTGGCCTCAGACCCGTGAGAGCCCAGGGATCCTCCACCCCCCAGGCCAGGACGCACCTCCACCACCAGGGCCTCACCTGGCTCCCCGGCGCTCACCAGGCACGGGAAGATGTGCGGTGCACTCAGCTGCTCAGTCGTGTCTGACTCTTTGCAACCTTATGGAATTTTCTAGGCAAGAATACTGGAGTGGGTTGCCATTTCCTACTCCAGGGGATCTTCCTGACCCATGGATCGAACCCAGGTTTCCTACATCTCCTGCACTGGCAGGCAGATGAAAAAGCGGGCAAGAAAATACAAAGGAGAAAAGACAGTCTCTTCAATAAATAGTGCTGGGAAAACTGGACCACTACATATAAGAGGGGCTTCCCTGGTGGCTCAGCAGTAAAGAATTCACCTGCCAATGCAGGAGACTCGGGTTCAATCCCTGGGTCAGGAAGATCTCCTGGAAAAGGAAATGGCAACTCACTCCAGTATTTCTGCCTGGAAAAACATGGATGAGGAGCCTGGCGGGCTACAGTCCATGGGGTTACAAAGAGTTGGATACGACTACATGACTGAACAAGTAAAAGGGGAAAATCAGAACACTCTCTAAAACCATATACAAAAATAAACTAAAAAAAAAAAACTCAAAATGGATTAAAAGTCTCAATGTAGGACTTTCCTGGTGGTCCAGTGGTTAAGACTCCACACTCCACTGCAGGGGGCATGGGCTCAATCCCTGGTTGAGGAACTAAGACCCCACTTGCTGTATAGCATGGCCAAAAAACCCAGCAAAAAACAAAGCAAAAGAAGAAACAAACAAACACCTAAATGTAAGACGAGATAACTATAAAACTCCTAGAAGAAAACATAGGCAGAACACTTTCTGACATAAATCACAACCATACTTTTTTGGATCCATCTCCTGAAGTAATGGAAATAAAAACAAAACTAAACAAATGGGACCTAATTAAATTTAAAAGCTTTTGTACAGCAAAGGAAACCATATAAACAAAACAAGAAGACAACTTACATTCTGGAAGAAAACATTTGCAAACAATGCTACCAAGAAGGGATTAATTTCCAAAATATACAAACAACTCATAAAACTCAATAATAACAAAAACAAACAACCCAAACAAAAGATGGGCAGAAGACCTAAAGAGATATTTCTCCAAAGAAGACATACTAATGGCCAACAAGCACATGAAAAGATGCTCAATATTGCTAGTTATTAGAGAAATGCAAATCAAAAACTACACTGAGGCACCACCTCACACCAGTCAGAATGGCCATCATCAAAGAGTCCACAAATATTAAATGCTGGAGGGACTTCCCTGGTGGTCCAGTGGTTAAGAACCCACCTCCCAAGGCAGAAGACGTGGGTTTGATCCCTGATGAGGAACTAAAATCCCATATGCTGTGGAGCAACTAAGCTCCGCAACTTCAGAAGCCTGCATGCCGCAACAAACAGCCTGTGCCAATATGCAAGATCCTGGGTGCTGCAACTAAGACCAAATAAGGATTATTTTTGGAGGGTGTGGAGAAAAGGGAACTCTCCTACACTGTGAGTGGGAATACCAACTGGTATAGCCACTATGGAGAACAGTATGAAAGTTCCTTTAAAAACTAAAAATAGAATCACCACATTAACCTGCAATCCCACTCCTGGGAATATAACCAGAGAAAATTCTAATTTGAAAAGATACATCCACCCCAATGTTCACAGCAGCACTATTTACAATAGCTAAGACATGGAAGCAACCTAATTGTTCACCAACATACAGATGGATGAAGAAGACATGATAGATACACACAATGGAATATTACTCAGCCATTAAAAAGAACAAACTAATGCCATTTGCAGTAACATGGATGAACCCAGAGATTATCATACCAAGGGAAGTAAGTCAAAGACAAAGACAAGTATCATATGATATCAGTCGTATGTTGCCACAATCATTAATTAGGCCACCATCAAAACAAAACAAAACAGAAAATAACAAATGTTGGCAAGGAGGTGAAGAAACAGGAACTCTCACTCACTGCTGGTGCAGGTGCTACAGGAGACTGTGTGGTCGCTCCTCAAAAACTAAAAACAGACTACCACATGCTCCAGCAATCCCTCCTGTTGGTATATATTCAAAAGAACTGAAATCAAGGTTGCAAAGAAATATTTTCACATGCATGTTTACAGAAGCATTATTCACAACAACCAAGAGGTAGAAGCAACCTCTACGTTTATGTAATATTATGTTAAATGAAATAAGCCAGTCACAAAAGGACAAATACTGCATGAGTCTACTTATATGAGGTCCCTAGACTAGACGAATTCATGAAGATAGGAAGTAGGACGATGGTGGCTGGGGGTGGGCAGTCATTATCTAATGGGGATAGAGTTCTGCAAGATGAAGAGTTCTGGGGGTGTGTTAGGAATGCAATTATTTCCTCAGTGCAGTTTCTAAGTTCTAGAATCAAATATATCAGGAGAAACCTGTAAATTATGCCAAGGGGTAACTAATACATTTTTAAAATACTATCCAACCAAGGGAGAATGTTTTAAGACTAATATCAACAACACTACATGAGCACTGAGACTTCAAACTTATTAATGTTGGATTTGTCAGTCCTAAGTCTTCTCAAGTTCTAAAAGCAGTGAGTCACTTGCAAGATCTGACCAAGCTAACGGGAGAATAAAGAAATGCCAGGAGGCACAAGAGCCTCAGAAATGTGACCTGGGCAGCAGTGAACCAATCGGAAAAAAAACAAAAACTGATGTACTTCACACGAAGAAATAACCAAAAATTTCTGTTAAAAGAAAATTACATTCTGTTTGAAAGGGTATTTTTTATTTTAATTTAAATGATAGAAGTTGTGACTTTTCTCTAAGCCTCTAACAACAACAAAAACAGTGTTACATGAAATCAGAATTATTTTGTATTACCTGGACGCCTAATTTATGGCTAATATTTTGATGCTTTTTTTTTTTAAATCAATGTCAAGATTACAAAGATGTTAAGGGTTAAGGATTAAGACAGAGAAGCAGTTTTAACCACTGGAAACAGTCATGGTCTCTGGGATTTAACTTTGGAAAGAGAGAAGAGCAGAGTCTTCAGTATCAACCAGTGAGGTGGGGAAAGAGAAACAAGAGGCTTTCCTGGGAAGAGCAGAAGCAATCAAGGGCGAGACTCCTAACTCCAGGAGAATCAGAGGACTTTTAGCTCCCCCAAACCAAGGGCCACAGCCCACAAGTAGTTGGAGAGGAGGGGGTCCTCCTGAATGGAAGCCCAAGGTTGCCACTAGAGCCCCCGAGCCCCAGGCCCCAAGGGCTGGTCCTGAAAGATCCACAGGGGTCACCAATTGGCGGAAAAAGCAGAGACGCACCCATGTCTCTAAAAGCAGCCAGGCCCAGTGGCTGGCTGTGCAGCAGACTAAAATTACGGAGAGATGGAGAACACAAGACAGGCTCCCAGGAAACTTTGACCCATGAAAGTTTCAGGCACAAATCAATACCTGACATGTCCCACTCTTCCAAGAGGATCTGCCTCAAAAAATGATAAACTGGAGGGATTCCCTGGTGGTTCAGTGGTTAGGACTCCGAGCTCTCAACTGCCAAGGACTTGGGTTCAATTCCTGGCTGGGAACTAAGATCCCACAAGCAGCTTGGCCAAAATAAACACACACACACACACACAGAAACTGAAAGAAAATGGGGGAGAGGGACGTCCTGAGTGTTGGCTTAACCTCCACTCCACTGATGATGGGTCAGAACTCAGCCCTCCAGCGTGACACTAGCCTCCAGCCTCTCCACACGGCATCTGCCCAGCAACCCTCAGATGCTTCTTTCCTATTTCCCAGGCATTTTCTTTTAATAGAAATAGCTTAACTATTTCACATCCTACAAATCACATATTATCACTATAAAAATAAAACAACACAGAAAAGCATAAAGTAGGAACAGCTGTAAATGAGATCATGTGTGTACTACTGAACTCAAACCAACGGCACCATCATACTATTTTCCAAATTATCTGCTCTTACAGTGCGTCACAGGTGTACCCTCACGTCACATGTACCACAGCATCTACTGTCTTTTTCCCAATTTTTTTCTTCAGATAAAATCCTTTAAGTGTGATTGTTGGACCAGAGTATGCGTGTGTGTGCATGCAAATATAAAAAATGAACAGTCTGTCAAATTTTTTTCTACAAAAAAGGTTCTACCAATTTAAACTTGTACCATCAAGGCTAGGAATGTGCCTTTCCACACCCTCCCTAGAGCCATCGCAAACTTGGACACAACCCCATTCCCCCTACACCCACAATAGGCTCAGCCCCCTCCACCTCACATGCTTCCCACTTCTTTCTTGTTCCGTCACTCACCACATGCTGGACTGACTGACCACACAGGGCATGGAGCCCACACGACCTGCTCTGAAACTGGAGGATGACGGGCCATGGGCAAGACCCTGAAAGACTGGCAGGTCAGGCAGCTGCTGAACTGGGCAGCATCATGGACCGTGTGCAGACAGGTCACCTGTTACTTCCAGTCACTGGGTGGTCTCACCAAGGACCCTGCCCACATTACTCATCACTGCATCCTCCAGCCCCAGTGCAGCACTTAGTGGGTTCAGAAACAAGTGGCCTCAGCTGCTGTCCCATCTGTCACGAGTCATCCTGTCTAGGCCTCCGTGTGCCCTCTGCTCCCTACACACGGCTGCCCACGTTACACGTGTGAGCGCTGGTGGTGTGTAAGAGGAGTCAGGCAGCGCCGAAGGCAAGGGTCTTAAGGACCTTGCAAGTTCACTGAGCGTGGGCTACAGAAGTTCTAGTCACCTTTGGAATGTGGGAGGGTTGTGTTTCTAAATGAAGACTGGAGTTAACTATTTTAGTACTCCTTTTATTTTTATAACCACTTAGATATAATTTTATCCAAAAGTATTACTCCTGACACATCTTTATTCAAATTAGGACTTGAACCTTCTTGCCAGGACATGCGTGGATGTGTGTGTGATGTACATGAACCAGAGTCCTGCACTCTGGCCCTGCAGCCCCCTAGTGAGGACGCCACACAGGCTGCGCTCCCAGGGCTCCCACTCCTCCTGAGGGAGCCGCTCGGCTCTGTGCAGGGCACCCAGGATGCCCAAGACAGCTTCCTGGCACTGCCAGCTCCATCCAGCAGTGGGTGTGACTGCAAGATGCCAGCGGATCACAGCCTGTCGTGCAGTCCCCCTATGCAGAGCCACGGTCACAGCGGAGACAATCCTGAAAGTCCAGAGCTGGGAATGACCCTCCAATGCAGGCACACTTCCTTTCTCATACAGGAAGCAAATCTCGATGATAAAATAGGAACAAGGTCAAGTCTTCTGCCTGTTTTGAGTTCGCTGCCAGAAATAAAGCAGCGGACCAGCCTGCAGGCACATGTAGCTGGAGTCCTTAAAGACGCCATCAGTAAGCACCACGTGGCCCTGCTGGATCCCCGGCAAGTGCAAAATTCAGCACAAGCGAAGCTCAGAGACAGTCTGACCCAGACCCAGTGCAGCTGAGCAGGGACGGGGAACAGACACAGCACTGCGACATGGCCATAGCAAGCCTTCCTGAGGGCTGAGATACTTCTTGTTTTAACTTACTGTTATAAGAAATCCTAGATTCACTGTAAACATTTCATTACTTAGGAAGCAACTTTTAATATGCCGCTAATGATTCAACTTTGACACTGAAGTCTAGTTCCTAAGTTTCTAGGTCAATTTACGTAAAAAACATCTGGAAATTCGCAAGGCAAGCTGTTTCAAAATACTTTGGAACTATTTTTCTGTATAAAACAGAGCTGTCTTAATTTACGATGCAACCTAAACAAATTAAATAGAAGTCAGAAGCATAGAAGACTGAGAGGAGACTCCCACCATCGCCTATAACTCTCATTAATTCCAAAGACGCACTCTTTAAAGGTAACACTGCTGGACACAGAAGTCTGGAGTGCTGCAGTCGGGATCACTGAGCGACTGAACTGAACAGACTTCAGCTTACAAAATAAACTCCTAGAAATAAAGTATCGCTTGCTGTTTTACATACCAGGGTGGTATAGAAGATTTTACTTGACAAAGAGGTTTCACTGCTGGAAAAAAAAAATTCTGAAAATCCCTATGTGACTATTAGTTGTCAAAACAGAAAGGGGCTGATAGGGGAGCATAAGAATGCAGTGACTTCCTTATAGGTAAGAAACGGTTCTCGCATCAGAAAATATAACTTGCACACTGAATAAAAACCAAAACCATAACTGCAGGAAGAAAAAGGAGGTTTCTCGCTGTTTATGGTTTATTTGAGATTTGTTCATCTGTTGACAGGTAAGGACCAGGAGTCACTTAAGAAAAATACATAGGAAAGAAGCAAATGGGAAAATTCTACCTGTTAAATTACACATTTTTCCTGCCAAATGGGAAAAAGACCACCATTATTTTATTTTACCAAAAGAATTCCTGATTTCAGCTTGAAAACTTGTATTCCATGAAAACATAATTTAAGACACTGAAATTAAAAAAAAAAGAGACACTGAAATAAGAAAACAAAAGCAACTATAATTTATTGCCACAATAGTATTTTTGAAGAAAGAGTTATTTTAAGAGTCAAAGTCCTACCGGCTGTATCTAAAGCCCTCACTTCAGCTCCCTACAGCTTCACGTTGGACAGGAAGCACAAAGAGGCCAGCACAACCACACCTGACTCTCTCAGCAGGGCCAGCAGGTGCTGGATTCACCAGTCACCAGTACCCACTGAATCATACTGCGTCCAATCCACAAAGCCCAGCACTCACAGAAGCTCAACACGAGGAAGAGCAGAGCTGCATCCAGGCTGACAGGGCCATGAACAACAACTTCTCACAGCCCACTCTGCTCCAATCTGAAAGACAGTACCTAGATTCTGAGGACTGGAAACGGGTAGAAACCGAGAAATGTGTTACTCTTACCTTGCTTCTCTTTTTCCTTCAGTGGATCGGTGTTATAGACTCGGAATCCATTTTCCATCCCACACGCAAAGCATCCTAAAGTGTGAGAGAGACAAATTAATCACCTCACTGGGGTCTCAGCTGAAGACCCCAGGCCTGGAGCAGCACATGCAAGGGGTCCAGAGACAGTGGCCTCTCTGAGGAACTCTCGTGGATGCTCAGGCCACACGGATGTGGTCTGCATGTGTCACGATGACTTGCCTCATGGACTGCTATCAGAGGGTTTGCACGTTACTCCACTTACCTCCGCAGGGCCCTTCTGGCATCCCATGGACCAGGCTCTCTGCTCCAACACTTTCCTGCAAGAGGGGCTCACCAGCTACCGAACCAGCCACTCTGCCACCCCACATGTCCCTCAACTCCAGCCTCTAATGCCCACCACTGGCCTCCCCGTTCCCAACACACCTCTCCAGGGCTGTATCAGGCCCTAAGCCCTAGAGAGGCAACAAGAAACAAGAGAGTCCAAGAGGACAGCCACAAAGCAGGCCACCTCAGCAGGCAGGGACACATCCAGTTGGAGAAGGGGTGGAAGCGCTAGCATGGACAGTCTTTTAGTTAGAAGGCAGCTTGAGGTCTCCATGACCTCATTCCCCCCTGGAACTAATCCTAACTCCCTAAACCCAAATCAGTCACCATCCCCAAGTCACACACCAGACTGTTAACGGTCCAGCTGAAAATGCTGTGAGGAAGTGAAGGAAGCACTAACGTTTTAGGATGACCCTGTGATCTGGACTTCACTTGCCTAAATGTAATCAAGACCACATTAATCTCTGTCAACACCACCAAGTTCAACTGCTGGCTTATATGAAACTTGTGACCAGAAAGAAACACCAAACTTTCCATTTCTTTCCCCAAGACAAGCTGTAGAGGCTGAACCCTCAGCACAACACATCACTGACCTGAAAGCCAAAGCCACCTTCAGAGTCTCTTCTGGTTTTGATCCGTGTTCCAGCACTGGAATGACATTATTCTATTCTATCAACCACTCCATCCCCACAATGTGAAAAGCATGCTTCTATTTTTTGTCAAAGTGAGGCAGAAAACTACAAAGACCTTAACAGCTTTCCCAGAAGTTGGAATCTGTTCTGTAATTAACGCTCAGGCTCTAAAATGAACTTTATCTGGGCCTGGAGTCTGACACTCACTGGAAAGTGCAATGTTACTTATTATCTCTTATTCTGGGCTGTAACTCCCTCTTTGGTTACTGGAATCATGTAATCTGGACAGAAGAACCAGAGCTTGGCTTTCTGGAAAATATGGAAATAATACAAAAGTCGAAAGTTTTCCTTTTGTTTCTCAACTATTATACCTTCCACAAGTTTTAAGCCTGCACCAATCTTACTTGTCTTCGCCAGAACACACATATTTCTGTCAAGACTTGTATAAAATACACAAACAATCCCTATAAATCCATTAAGAAAAAGGCAAACAACCCAATAGAAAAATGAGCAAAAGATCTGGACACTTCACAAAAGAGAATATCCAAATGCTTAATAAACATACATAATCAGGGAAATGCAAATACAATCTCACACATACACCACAATGAGATCTACTAAACATCCACCAAAATGGCCAAAAGGGCCAAAATGAGTGTGCAGAGGCATGGGAATGGAGGGCAAGCCAGGACAATCACTGCGGAAAACTGTCTGCATGACAGCCTCTGTCGATTCTACTCCTAGGTATACAAGCCCTGTAAAAATGACAACACACATTCACTAAGACAGGTAAAAAATGGTCACAGCAGAACCTGCATGCTTGAAATGGCCCCAACTGGGAACCTACCCAAATGCCTACCAAAGGTTGAACGGACCAACTGTGATATAGTCACACAAAGAAATAGTGCACCAATGAGGATGACCTACAATTATACTCAACAGTACGGGAAAAAAGCTCTTGCAAACACGATACTGAATAAAAAAGCCAGAAACAAAATACAGTACAGACAGGCAAAACTAATCTATGTCGCTAGAAGTCAGACTGGGCGAGTGGCCTGAAGGAGCACAGGGTGCCAAGGTATTTGGTTTCTTAACCTCGGTGCTGTGGAAGGTGTGTTCAGTTTGGAAAATTCACACAAGCTGAATACTTAGGATACATGCACTTTTCTGTAAGAGTAATGCACTTCAGTAAAAAGCTAGAAAAAAGGTCCTACAAACACAAGACTGGAAACGACTCTCTAAGAAGGCTAGGCATTATCCTTGCTATTTTGCGGGGTAGGAGAAATAAATTAGCTGGTTTTAGTTGGTTATCACACAACAGTTGGCATGAACCTTCCTGTCCTTGCTATCTTTTTTTTTTTTTCCGTCCTTGCTATCTTAATGAAACTTTTCTCCACAGAGAAGTCCTCAAGCCAACAGCGAGTGATCAAGCACAGTGCAGAGAAAGCCGACTGGCAACAGGGCATCAGAATCACTGAAGGGCATTCTACACACAAACCACATGCAAGCCATACACAAGTGTTCACCTACACTCCAGATCCACAGCCAAGTGAGCCAGCGAAGTCAGTCTGTGGCCTCAGACTAGGTCCCAGCAAGACAATCTAGTCTACAGAAGTGTATACACTCAAACCTTCTATTTCCCACAGGAAGAGAAAGAAAAAACGGCAGCCAGATTATAGAAACGCACACATATCAACACTTCAGAATCTTGAAACTGTAATACAACTTATCTTTGGGAGAAGATAAGTCAAAAGTTTGAACAATTTAAAGTTATGAGCAAAGGTTTCTAAAGCTAAAGTTTCAATGAGAGTACTAAAAATGCTGAGTAAAAATTAAAAGTCAATATAAAAACAAAATGTAATGAACTCCACAACCTGGCATATATTTACATCATAGGGAATTAAGCTTAGGGTAAGCAGAAGGTTAAGTATAAATGCATTATTTTCTTCAGCAACACTAAGTTTTCCTTTTAACTATTACAACCAAATGAGGTGGTTTTACAAAAGTGAGAGTGTATTTTTCAGAAAACTGAAATATATCCATTTAAAAGCCAGAGCTGTATTTTCTAAATAATCTTTGATGAAACCTTTATAAAAACATTATAAACTTCACTGGTTTCTTAAATAATTAACTTTATTGTGAGCCTCAATTATTACACCAAAACCTGCTACAAGGATTCCTCATCTGGCCCTAAGACAGGTATGTGTGCTTAGTCGCTCAGTCATGTGGGTATCTAAAGGCCACAGAGTCAGTAAGCTTTGTGTTTCCATGTTTGTTTCCTTTTAAGAAACCTACTGGCCCTCCTCTGGAAATAAAAATCCAATGCGTTCAGCCACACACTGCTCGATCCCCAACTTCTGGCCCCCAAAGCGGACCCCACAACCCGTGCGGTGCCCAGCCCAGCCGCCCGCATCCCATATTTTCCCCCTCGTCCAACTCCACCCCTCCAAGAACTCTTCCCGCCCTTAAGGGCTCCTCCCTGAAGGAAATCCCGGCCTAGCCTCGGTTCCCAGAACACACTTTACTCTCCCGGGGCCCTACAGTCAGAACCTTGGAGCCACCACCCCACGCGCCCACGCGCTGACACAGCTGGGCGACCCCTGCCCGACCTACGTAACTCTACCCCAAACTGGCTCCACAGACACAGATCCTGCAGTTCCTGCTTCTGGATCCTCTTCAAACTGGCTTCCAAAGCGAACCCTCAGAACCGACGAGGGTCTCCCTCCCTGGAGTCCCACATCACGCAAGATTTCAGAAAGGCGAAACAGGCCGTCTCCCCAAAAGCCGGGCTGAATAGTCCGGTTGCCACCCAACAAAAGAAAAAAAAGTGTGAGTCCGGCGGCATATTCTACGACAATCAGCAGAAACGGTGAGGACCTTCGCGAAAGAGGTCCTGGGCCTGCAGGGGCATTCCCACCTCGATGCGACCCCATCCTGGCCGCTGGGAACCCTACACCGGCAAGAAAGAACCGACGCCGCCCCGGAAAAATCCCATCACTGTCCGACCTGGATGGGGGTGGGGGGTCTGGGCGGCGGGGAAGCGGCCTGGGCCGGGGGGAGAGGGGAGGCCTGGGGGAGGAGGGCGGCTTCAGGGGCAGGGGAGAGAACGCTGGGGGCAGGGGAAGAGGCCTGAACCCGGTGAGGACGCCACCGCAGGGCTGAGGGCGGGACCCCGCTCGGAGGGGAAACGGCGGCAGGGGGGGCCGGGGCCGCTGACGGGCTCTCCTCACCATGGTCCTGGTTGAAGCCGGCGTAGAGCAGCCCGTTGCCATGCGGGTTGCAGGGCAGGAGGTTCATGGCGCCGCGGGATCCACCGCGCCTCAGCGCCGCATGCCGCTCCGGGAGGTCGACCGCTGGGATCCCTCTGGCCAGCGCCGACGCTATCGCGGCCGGAAGCGAAAGGCCCACCGCCTGCGCGCGCAGCCAGGGAACCGCGGAGCGCCGAGCAATCCACCCGCTGCCTGCCGGGCGGGGAGGGAACGCCGAGAGCGTCACGTCTACGGGGGGGGGGGGCTTGTTCGGAGGGGGGGGGTTGGCTTGGGTTTGGGGGGGGGGCTTGCCTTGGGGGGGGGGTTGGCTTTTTTGGGGGGCGGTGTTGGGGGGGGGACCCCCTTGCTTGGTTTCCTCTCGTTTTTCCTCTCACCTCTGGGGCGGGGGGGGGCCCGAGTCTCTCACTCTCTCTCGCGCGCGTCCCCGGGGATCTTGTGCATTTTGGTGTGAGATTTTTTTTTTTTTTTTTTTTATAAGGGTATGTGTCTCTGTGTATATATCACTATTTTTTGTGGTTTTTTTCAGGTGTGTTCTTGTAATGTTTTCGCGAAGAGCCCAATGTGTGTGGGTGTGGGGATGTGGGCGTATATGTGCCTTTTGCGCTGTGGGGGGCCTTTTCACGCGGATTTTTTTTTTTCAAGAGTATACGTCTCGGGCCCACCTCCCTACACGACCCTGGTTGGTTAGAAACGCAGCTGCAGAACCGTAGATGTCATGGATAAGAGGGAAGACTATAAATTAGACGCAGATGTTTTTACTGTGTGAAAGGCGGCCGTCCCTAACCCCTGTGTTGTTCAAGAGTCAAGTGTAAATCAATGTCTAGACTCTCCCATCCCACCCTCCACCTCCCCATAGAGAGACCCCAGCCACAGAGACACAGACTGCCCCCCAGCCCAGGACCCAGAGCTACCCACAGACACACAGCTGACACAGATGCCCCAAGGCACAGAGCCCCCTTCAGGACACACAGAAGCTCCTGCAGGGACACAGGGCTCTCCAGGACACAAAGCCCCCCCAACAGGCACTAATCTGTTCTGTATTAAAACCCAGCTTTCTATTTGTAAGAGGGAAAACACCCTCTAACATTTTAACAGCGTAGGCCCCACTTCTCAGAATGCTTTTGGAATGCTGTCAGTGTCGCTGTGACCAAGTGTGTCTCCACTGGGGGCTGGGCATCAAGTGAGTTGTCTGTCTCCTGTGGGGTTATTAAAGAGTTTCTTTTAAAAGATAAAAAGTACTGAGCAAGGCCAGGGAATTTAGCCACCCATGGAAAAGAGTCGCACTCCATCTACCCTTCAATGGACAGATACGCAACACCAGAGAGGCAAGAAGCAAACACTAGAGCCCCTCATGTCCACATGGATGGACATCAGATGAAGAGAGTCAATTCCTAGGCAGGTTGATAAGAAGTCTGGGGTCCCCGAGGAGGAGAAAAGGGTCTGGAGCCCTTGAGAAAGAGGAAGGGGTCTGGGGCTCTCAAGGAGGAGAGAAGGACCACCTTTTTTTTTTTTTTTTCCCTATATTGCTTTGTATCAGTCAATATAACAAAGTGTCTTGCTTGTGGACATGTTTCTCCTTAACAAGAACCTTCTGACTAATGTTATCTTAAGTATGTTGTGCGAGTGGGTCTGGTAAGACCTGTCTATTGTTAATTCTAATCTTGTTAATTTAAGGTGTATGTTGTAGGAGTGGGTCTGGTTAAAGTATATAAGGCCTTGATAAGACGTGGGTGGGGGCCCCCTTCTGAAATCTCTGTCAGAAGCTTTCTCTCTTTTTTTTTTTTTTGGCACCAAAGGCACATCCTAGCTTTATTAAATGGCCCACGCTGCAGTCAATATAAAAACACAAAAAGTCCCATCAGTTTAATAATAAAAAACCCCCAAAATGGAAAACTGAGGGCACAGGGAAGAGGACCCTGGGCCAGGGCCACGGGGAGCCCTGCTCGTGGCACCGGGCCTGGCCGCAGGGACCCTGGTATTGCTGTTGCTATGAAGTCCAGGGGCAGCGATTATCCTGTGGAGCCACCGTTCAGCCGGGTCAAGGACCCTTACTTCTTCTGGGGTGTGCTCAACTTCTGCATGCCCCAGATCTTGTCCAGCAGGCCACAGATGAAGGCCTCAGTGGGTTTGTAACAGTCAACCAGTTGCTCCTTGATCCTGGCAGCCCGGGTATCATCGCTCTCCGTGTCCAGGAGTTCATCCACATCGATCGATTTCCAGCTCCAGGATCTCCTCTCCTGGCAGTCGTAGAGGCGAGTGAGCTGCTCCAGGATCCACTCCTCCAGGTTGAGGTGCTTCTGTAGCTCCTTGCGGTCGTACTTGACCGTGACCTTACCTTGGCGCCGTGACCTTACCTTGGCGCCTCACTGGGCCCTGTCGCAGCCCTCGTCTGCAGCCCCAGGGAGGCTCTGAAAGTAGACGCCCCGGGCCCTGGGCCGCCATTCCCCGGTCAGTTGGCTGGGGCCTCCGACGCTGCGCCCCCCATGGGGCTGCTGTCCGCCTTGGCGGCTGCCGGGGCCAAATCAGGCCCCTCCCTGATGCCTGCCTGCTAGCTCCAGGCCACTTAGCATGCGGAGCCCCTGGGCAGAAGCTTTCTGTCCATTTAATAAAAGGACACAAAAGCTCTTTTCTGCTACACAAAAGCTCTTGAGTGATCAAGCCTGGTCCCTGCTGCGCCCCCCATGGGGCTGCTGTCCGCCTTGGCAGCTGCCAGGGCCAAATCAGGCCCCTCCCTGATGCCCGCCTGCTAGCTCCAGGCCACTTAGCATGCGGAGCCCCTGGGCAGAAGCTTTCTGTCCATTTAATAAAAGGACACAAAAGCTCTTTTCTGCTACACAAAAGCTCTTGAGTGATCAAGCCTGGTCCCTGGTCCAGGGAGGCTAAATCTTCCAAGATCACAAATCCCACATCATTCACTGTAAGCTATCAACATGTTGAGCAAAGAAAGCAAGTTGCAAAGCAGACCCACGTGCAGTTCACTCTGCACAAAGCTCAAAGCAGGCAGACTCAGGAAGCCGCTGTTCAGGGATGCATACTGAGGTGGATGCAGACAAGTAAAAAAAAACAACACAGAATTAGCTATGCTGTTGTGCTTAGTCGCTCAGTCAGTCTGACTCTGTGACCCCATAGACTGTAGCCCACCAGGCTCCTCCATCCGTGGGATTTCCCAGGCAAGAATACTGGAGAGGGTTGCCATGCCCTCTTCCAGGGGATCTTCCCCACTCAGGGATCAAATCTGCATCTCCCATGTCTTCTGCATTGCAGGCGGATTCTTTACCTGCTGAACCATCAGAACTGGAGATGGTGGTTTCTCCTGGAGCAGGGTTGTCATCTGCAAGAGGGGAGGGGCCTGTGTGGTCAGCTGAAAAACTACCCACAAGGTTGTAAATGTGTCCCCTTGTATGGCTGAAGCAACTTTGCAGATGTGATTATTGACCTTGAGATGGGGAGAGGATTGGGCTCTAAATGCCATCCCTTGGTAAGAGGAAGACAGGGTGTCAATGTGACCCTGGAGGCAGAGATTAGAGTGGTGCGGCCATGAGCCAGGGAACAATGGCAGCTCTTAGAAGCTGGAAGAGGCCTGGAACTGATTTTCCTCTGGAGCCTCCAGAAGGAGGAACCAGCCCTGCCCACACCTTGATCTCAAGACTAAGGGCTTCTGACCTCTAGAGCCGTGAGAGAATAAATATATATTGTTATAAGTCACCACAGCCAATGATTCAGTACCTCATGTGGCAGCCTGAAGACTGGCCCTCAAAGATATCAGGTCCTCATCCCTGGAACCTGCAAATATTACCTTGTTTTGGAAAAAGAATCTTGGCAGCTGTGATTAAATTAAGGACCTGAGATGGGGAGATGACTCTGGGTTATCCGGATATGCCCTGAGTGCCTCACATGTGTCCTTAGAAGAGGAAAGCAGAGAGAGGTTTGATACACTTAGGAAGAAGGCCATGTGAACACGGACACAGAGGTCAGAATGATGTAGCCACAAGCCAAAGGATACCCGAGGCCATGGAAGCTGGAAGAGGCAGGAAAGATCCTTCTGGAGCCTTCAGAGAGGTCACAGCCCTGCCCACACCTTCACGTCAGCCCATTTTGGAGTTGTGGCCTCCAGCACTGTGGAAGAATACATTTCTACTATTGGTAAATTTGTTACAGCAGCCACAGAAAACAGAATATAAGAGCAGTAGGAAACTATTACAACACGCAGAGGGCTTTGGAAATAAAGTTGTTTCATATGATACAGTGTTTCACTAGTAAAACAATCTAGAGAACCTTCAAAAAGCTACCATCGTTACCCCTGATTTCTGAAGTGGACCAAGGAGCAAAGATAAAATTGGGGTGGGGGCAAGGTATCAGGAAACCAGTAGACAACGCTGGCTGGCTTTGAGATACACAAGGCACTGTCCTCCAGTAGAAGTAGGAAGTCAGCTTCTGCCAGAGCAGACAGGAGTTTTCTAGACCTGACTACCAAGTCCACTCCTGGCCGAGAGAGTCACCTTCCTGTCATCTCATCAGGCACAGAAAGAGCACCGGAGATTCTGATATACCCAGTCTGGCCATAGAGGGCTCTGTAGGATATGACAGCTGCCTGGACAAGGCCACTCTGGCTTATAGGCACAGCATAAAAGCAAGACCTTGCATGAACACAGTCCAGAATGGAGCAATGTCTGAGCCAGCAAAGACCAGACCCCATCATGGAGTCGGAGCTGCTGCTGCTCTTGGCAGAGACAGCTTTAACCTGGCTCAGTCTTCACACCTTCTAGGTAAGAGTTACTAAAACAGTGATCCCAGAATCACCCCTGCTCCCTGAGAGTGTTGAACACAGCAAAGTGTTCTAGCACAAGTTAGTCTGAATCCTTTCCAGCATCCTCTGGAAATGCCCCTGTTTCTTGACCTTGCGCGGTCTCTCTGTGATGAGTCAGCTGAGTTTCTGATGACCTCTGATTGACAGCAGTGAGAGCACCTCTGGGCTGCCTTGCCTAGGAAGGGTAAAGGCTGGAGCAACAGCCTTTGGACCGAAGTGGACTTTGGAACTCTTCCTTGTCTCTGTCTTCCTCTCCGCAGTGACTCAGAAGCCTCTGTGCCTGGGCTGGCTCCACTGTTCAACTCATGGGAAAGTAGAGTGAAAGAAGCAATATTCCACACTTGATTTCTAGACTGAGGCAGGAAAGGGATGGTAGGATTTAAAGCCAAAACTTGATGGGCAGGAACCAGCCTTTTTTGAGAACAATATGTAAGATTTCAGAGATCTGAAGAAGGAGGGCGCAGACCTAAATATTCCATCAAAGCTGGAACAGATGGAGCCAGACCCTGACTGTTGAGTTTAGGCTGGTTGGGGAGCAAAGGTTGGGGATCGATGGTCAGAGGTGAGGAGGGACAGGGCCAGCTTGACCCTCACCAGGGCAGGGATCCCTATTGGGTACCCACTGCCTATGTGAGAGGTGGCTCCCATTACTACCATCAACCCATCTGCCTGCTGCCAGCAGGAGCATCTGCAACAACAACCGCCCTGTTCTGAGGCTTTGTCAGCCTCAACCACGAGGTCAGCATATTGACGACACCCCTGGTGAAGGTTGGGGCCCCAAGGGAAGAGAGGTCTGAGAGCATATAGGGAGCAGGGAGTGAACACGGGGTTCCACCCTCCCGGTGTGTTAGGGCATATCCCCTGCCGCCCATGACAGCTTAGCTACCTCCCTCCAGTTTCCCGATACATGCAGCTTCCTGCTTGCTTTTCAAATTCACATTTACTTTGATGACACACTTCTCCTGCAGAGGGAAGCATCTCTATCTTCCTGTCTTTGGCAAAACAAATATTATCAAGCCCGTAACTGACATTTTTTGCAGATTCAATATTTGCCTGGATCATTCCTCATCAAAGTTGTAAACTGTCTAGGAAATTATTCTGCATCACAGTAATTTTCACAGGGCAATTGAAGACATAATTGTACATAATGCATTTTGAATCTAGATGCTTGAAAAGACAATTACAAACAGCTGGGACATAATTTGATGTTCTTGTTTATACTGGGGGGTGGATTTTGCCAGCAGAGAAGCCACAGGAGAAAATGGTGAAGTTTGAGAACAGTTTCTCCAGGGTTCAATTTACATTTCAGTTATGAGTTCTGTGTTCTCACCACCAAAACATGCATACTTGTGCTTAATACATTTTATATAGCATGGGTGCTGTCACTTCAGTCATCTCTGACTCTCTGTGATCCTATGGACTATACCTACCAGGCTCCTCTGTCTGTTGGGATTCTCTAGGCAAGAATATTGGAGTGGGTTGCCATGCCCTCCGCCAGGCGATTTTCCCGACCCAGGAATCAAACCGAGGTCTCCTGCATTGGTAGACAGGTTCTTTACCACTAGCGCCACTGTATTAGGGTTTATTTTTATTTCGCAGGAATGCTACTTTGATAGCACTTTCTACTGTGAAGCATAACTTATTTTCTCGTGTGAGCCCTGGAGCTGCTATAACAGATCACCACAAACTAGGGGGCTTAAAACAATAGAAATCTGCCTCTCACAGTTCTGGTGATCAGAGTCTGAATCCAGGTGTGGGCAGGGCTCTCTTCTGCCTCTTCCAGCTTCTGGTGACCCCAGGGGTCCTTCAATTAAGCAATGAAAAGGAACAGAAGGGGCCTGGTTTAGCCTTGCAACCAGGCATCTCTCCCCAGCCTCCTCCCCTCCTCCTGGGGAACCTGCACCTTGTACTTCTGTGTACCCTTCAAGGGTGGGGAGAGGGGCTTGCGTTCAGGATGGACTCCTCTTTTCTGCTGGTTGTGGTCAGGGAAGTGACACCCCACCTCAGCTGTCTGGTTTCATGGTCAGCAGGTCAGCTCTTCACTCTCCTTTCTCCATCCACTGCCCAACAGAGAAAAGGATGCGACAGTCTGCCAGCAAGTCCTCCCAGGCCCAAAGCCCCTTGTAGAGAGACTGTCCCCTCCAGACTTACCTGCTATGTCCTCACCTGCTCCCCTGTGGACATTTGTCCCCTTCATGCCCAGGGGGCTGGGTGACCAGCAGCAGCTAAGCCCATTCCTCCTCTCTAGGCCACAGCTCCACCATCTCTGAAGGTGTCGCTTTCTTTAAATTTCTAAAAACCTATAAATCAGGGACTTCCCTGGTGGTCCAGTGGTTAAGACTCCACACTTCCACTGCCAGGGGTGTGGGTTCAATCCTTGGCTGGGGAATGAAGATCCCACATGCCAGGTGGTACAGCCCAAAGAGCAAAGAAAAACTAAAAATTACTAACAGAAACCAAGGACATCTGGGTGTTTTCTCTTCTCTGAAAGTTATTTTTTAAATCTATTGTTGCATCTTCTGTCTGCCACAGAGAGCCAAGCCACAGAACCAGGAAGGAGGCCCTGCCGGGAGCGTTGGCAGAGTCAGCTCCAATCTTGACGTCACTCATGCTGGGCAGTGATGCCCCATGCACTGGGGCCAGAGCACCTCCCACTCATCCTGTAGAGACACAGGCGGGACAGCTGCCCCTTCAGGCCCCACTGTCTGCCTCTGCGTTCTTTTCAGGAGAAGGCATCCTTTCACCCCGTGGTTCAGGTCAGGGACACAGCCCTGTTGCCAATGCCAGGTACTAGCACTGACTCTGGTGACTGAAATAGGCAATAAGGCAAATGGGATCAAGGGTGATGGAAGTACACAAAACCAGAAAGAAGCAGCCAACGAGTCTACCAAGAAACAAGTATACTTTTTATTGTCAAGAAACATCGATTCTTAAACAACAGTGTTCGCTTCACTCTTAGCTGAAAACGGCTCTGAGTGACATTCTCTTGCCAGTCTGGACATGGTGTAACCGTGCTGCAGTGTGTTCGCTGTAACTAGAAATATCTTTGGCATTTTCTTCCCTTAGCATCATAACTCGTAAAACATTTGTACAAAAAAATGTAGATTTACAGAAAATATGCATATAAATCACTTATCCTAAAACGTAGTAAATAACGTAGCAAAAACTTGATCAAATCCGTTTCATACACAAGCTGGACAGATTGGCTGTGCGTAATCTCTAACTTATCTATGGTGTTTTATAAATTAGTGCTTTGACATTAAAAAGGAGGTTTATAAAAAGACCCCTCATAGTGTCGAAAATTCTTAACTTCTCTCTCCTTTCCCACTTTTTGTAGTCCCTAGAATTTATACTCATCACAAACATATCACCATTCTTATAAAAAGTAGTTATTTTAAGAAAAAAGTTGCACTGCAATCATGATACGTTACATTCAAAATTCCATGTTATCCAGAGTTCTTCCCTTTATAAACACATGTCTGAAATAAGAGCCCATGCCCATCCATGCAGAAGTATCTGGTAAGCAGGGTACCAGCCTCAGTTTCATCGCTCGGGGCCACGTGGTCACCATGACATTGGCGGGCGTCTAGATCCAGAGTGGCCTCCCCCTCCTGTCTGTGCCCCTCCTCTGCCTTGTACCCTCCTCAAGAGACTTTGCAGTTGTTTCTGGAGCAGCGTCTGGGGGGGCTCTGGGGGAGGTGGGTGCCCTTTGCTTTTCGGAGGCTGGTCCTCTTGTGGCCGGAGCTGGTGGCAAGGGAGCAGGGGCGGCCATGCACCATCCTGGCGTTCAGGCCGGTGGCCATCGAGAAGGACTTGAGGTGGCTCCTGAGGGCCGTGGGCAGCGGCAGCCTGTCCACCAAGTGCACAGGCGTGCAGGACACCACTGCCCGGCAGCACAGGTCCTGCAAGCTCAGTACTTGGGAGAGAAAAGAAAACCTGGTTCATTTGTGTTGTCCTGGGCATGGGGGCAACACCGGGGCAGCAGGACACCTGTCCACCCTTCTCTCTGGGACTCTGGGGCAAGGTGTCAAGTCCCAGTCTCCCACCCTGCCTACATGTGGCGATTAGAAATGGGTGGTCCTGCTTCCGCCTCCTTAAACCCAGTTTGCCTCCAAACTTGAGACCACCACTGTCTCCTCCACTGGGTCTGAGAGATGAGTCCTGCCAGGTGATGGCCAATGAGGTCTCCTCAGGATTAATGCAACCAGCTTTTGGGGCTTGAGGCCAAGGGCTTCAGGAAATGTGCTTCCCAACTGAGTAGCTGACCCAAAAAATGTGTGTTATCAGCTTTATAAAGACATACTGGAGAACACAGCAGAAAAGCAAATGCTGTCACTTATATTTCACCTACATCATTCATTTTATAACTGCGTAGGCCTGGGCCTGCTCCGTGGGGACCTGCCGCTTGAAGGCCAGGTGCAGGCGGTTCCCCACCAGGATCTTAGGGACCCCCGGGGCATGCTAAAGGGTGACAAAGAGGCAAGGAAAGTGGGTCAGGTGCAAGCTTTGTTGTTGGTTTGACAGGTGTCCTGGGGTGATATCCACCTAGAACTTCAGAGTATGTCCTTTTTTGAAAGTAGGGGCTTTGTAGATGGAATTAGTTAAGATGAGGTCTTGGGGTGGACCCAATATCCCATTACTGTGTCCTTTTAGAAGGGGAGAGGACACAGGACGCCAGAGCAGAGATGGATTGAGGCGTCCACAGGTCAAGGACCAGGGATGGTCAGTAACACCAGAAACTGGAGGAGGCAGGAAGGATCCTCCTCTCAAACAGAGGGAGCCAACGCCTTGATTTTGGACTTTGACCCCAGAACTCAGAGAATGAGTTTCCTTTGTGTTCAGCCACACAGTCTGTGGTGAGCTGTTACAGCCACCCCAGGACACTCACAACAGTGGGTGGGACTGACCACTCGACATCCCCATTGGCAGCTGGGCTGCTCAGGGTGCCAGCAGATAGCAGCCTAGTCCCCACTGGTCAACCCACTTGACTGTGTGCAGGGCCTCATCCTGTGCTAGGAGGCGACATGTCCTCCCTGCTGTGGCTGGAGCCTCGTGCCCTGGCTCCCCTGCCCACCCCTCCGTGGGCCCACAGGGAGGGAGTCCTCCCCTTGTTGTACCTCATTGATCTCCTTAATCCACCGGTCGATGCCATCAAAGGACCAGCGGTTTGCGATGTCGTACACCAGGATCACACCCTGGGGAGGCAATAGGCCTCTCAGTGGCCAGCACGCAGGCCACTCAGGCACACACTCACAATGAGCTAAACAGCCATTCTACTTATTTTAACGCAAAGCACATTTTTTAAAAATTTATGTGCCAAATGTAGCAGCTATATGATCATTTCCAATGATAATTTCATAAGCTCATGGAGAAACCCTCAAATGTGAAGGTGAGTTGGGTACTGGAGCTCAGTTCCCCACATTCATGAGCTGGTCCAGGGACATGGAATGTGGGGGGACTGCAGAGCCCACCCACCTGGACAGAGAGTTCCCACACACGTGCAGACACACACGCATGTGAATGTGGTGCACACACAACCCACATGCCTGCATATTTATGTATGCACATGCATAAATGCACGTGAATGCATACCACTCATGCACACGTATGTACAAATGCAACACATGCAACCACACCCCCATGATGCTGAAGGCTTGGGAGTCACCAAACAGTCCACAGCACAACTTTAGATTCTGGCATCAACTTATAGGTAAGCTGATTGCCTTGTCCTCCAAGTATCCATTAAAGAGCATTCCGAAAGTCATTATTAAAGTCAGTTTGACCTCCCTGTTCAAGGGATGTTACCTGTGCGCCACGAGAATAAGAGCGGAATATGGTGCAAAATCTTCCCTGACCCGATGTGTCCCTGGAAAAGATATTAGAGGCCTGTAAGAAGAAATCACTGCTTCTTGACAACAAGGTTTTTGAACTTGGGAGCCAGAGCAAGTACATTTTATAATTATCAGTCAGTGGCCATCCCAAAGGAAAGTCCAAGCTCCCAATAAAACGTTGGACACATTTTCCCTGGAGAGATCCAGACCTTGAGATGTCCTTCTGGGCCCTTTCTCTTTTCTAATTATTTGAAAAGTCAACTAGAGAAAGTAGTAATGGGTTGAAATGTGATGTGTTAGCTGCTCAGTCGTGTCCGACTCTTTGCGACCCCATGGACTATAGCCCGCCAGGCTCTGCTGTCCATGGGATTTCCCAGGCAAGAATACTGGAGTGGGTTGCCATTTCCCTTCTCCAGAGTAATGGGTTTCCACGTAATAATTCTGACATTTCAATAAATCTAATTTAGGTTTTTTTAAAAGTTGTTTAATTTGGAGATAAAGCTATGTAGTAAGGAATGTGAGTCTACACTGAGGGAGAAAGAGGCCAAAGGATTTGGTGGGGTCACTCCACTTCCAATTAACTCAAAAAACATCATGGGAATTCCCTGATATCCAGTGCTTAGCACTCCCTGCTTTCACTGCCAATGGCGTAAGTTCAATCCCTGATCAGGGAACTAAGATCTGGCGAGAAAAGATCACAAGAAGCCAGCCCTGTGGATACACCCCTATGTTCCTCAATAAGAGGAAGTGATCCTGGGATGCATTCATCAGGATAAAGAAGAATAGCACTTTGGGACGGACTCCACCCTGTCTCAGGGCATTCACTGAGATGGACTGACCACCCCAACCAGGGACATTGGCTCCATTTCAGATGCCAAAGAAACAAGAGCAGCTGTTACAACAGACTTCTGAGTCCAGGAAAAGTTTGGATTGAGAGGGGAGCCCTCAGGAGGTCTCTGGGGAGGAAGGAAGGGAAAAGAGATTTGAGAGTCAGCAGGGACAGGGACATTGAGTGGACATCATGGAAAGAGGCTTCCTGGGTCAGCCTTGGGGGCTTACTGCTGCTGGTTAGGGGTGGGTAGGGGTGGGAGAAGGGGCTCTGGGCCCACTGGAGACACTTGTGGCCTTGAGAGAGATCTGGCATGGTCAGGCGGGAGAACGGAACCATGCAGGTGGCCCAGGAGAGGGGATGACACAGGAGCTAGTGATGGTGGTCAGGAAAGCCACATGGCGTAGGGACAACCCAGGGATTAGTCACAGCAGGAAAACCCTAGTCACCCACCCCTGGAGCTGGAGGGCCAGGGGTATCACACCAGAGCATCAGAACCAAGGCTGTCAGGAGTGGGGACCAAGAAAGAGACCCAATCCAGAGCTGGGCAACACCCTGGCCTCTTACACTCCCATCCCCCTCCACCCTCCGCCCTGTTGAGCTTGGTCACAGCATATGGCCCCTCTGGGCACCAGCGAGGCAGAAGAAGGCCACATGCTCTGGACTGACTCCGAGGCCCATGCAGATCTCGACTCCCTCGGGAGCCATTGGGTCAGGCTGGGGTTGAAGCAGTGGATCTTCCCTCAGATGGCATCAGAGTCCCCAAGGGGCAGGACAGCTCCCCCCACCCCATGTTCAGGGGTCAGGAGGGACCCCTGACTCACCAGAGCTGCAGCTTCACCCGCCGGCCGTCCAGCAGGATGGTGGTGGTCTTGTAGTCGATGCCTGTGAAAGAGGGTCGAGGCAGCTTAAGTGCCAAGCACTTCCACAAAGTCTTGTTCTGGTAAAAGGTGCAGATCAGAGAGACAATCTCATGCTGGGGGAGAAAGGACTTCCCACTAGTGGGATCCAGCGCTCACGGGGCAGCTGAACTGGGCCCCACTTGGACCCTGGCCCCCCAGCATCACCTACCTTCTATCTGAAGCGGTCTCCAACCTCCACTCCTCCCTTGTCACCACCGCCTCCAGCTCAGTGCCCAGGCCCCTGCCACGACCTGACGGGTGGGCAGCAGGAGCCCCCAGAACCATTCTGCCCCTGGCTCTACACATGGCCTGCTGGCCCCAGGTTTGCTGAGAGACTGTGGGCAGCCCAGTCACACACCCTTGTCTCTGCTGGACTCAGGGCTAGAACATGGCTCTCCTTTCCTCCCAAGTTATCCCACTGAGAATGTAAGGTAAAAGTGTATAGAAAATGAAATTAGTAATGAAGCATTATCTCAACTATGCAAAGATGAAACATGTACACAAGGGTGATGAAGTAAAGTTCCCGTACTATGGCAAGACAAGAAAAACTTAGACATAGATAGTTTTTCTGCCCACATGGACTGCCTCCCTCCTCTGCCTTGTGTATTGGACATCTGCATTGACCACACCCCCATAGGAGACTACGTGCGTGCCTGCTAAGTCGCTTCAGTTGTGTCCAACGCCTTGTGACCCTATGGACTGTAGCCCGCCAGGCTCCTCTGTCCATGGGATTCTCCAGGCCAGAATACTGGAGTGGGTTGCCATGCCCCCCTCCAGGGGATCGTCCCGACCGAGAGATCCAACCTGCATCTCCTGCATTGCAGGCAGGTTCCTTATCGCTGAGCCACCAGGGAAGCCCATAGGAGAGAACATTCCTTCTTAATTTCTAAACCATCAGGATGGCTTGGGCAGCACTTGACAACTCCGCAGGAGATAACCTTCTTTCCCGATGTTGTGAGGGCTCATGATGACCCGGATTTGCTTTGGATGAGCAGACCTAGATTATGTAAACCGTCAACATGCCTTTTGATGTATATCCCTTTGTCTCAAAAATGTTTATAACTGTGTTTTGACCTGTGACAGGCAAAGCAGTCCTCAGAGCTTTCCAAAAGACAGTCTCCCAGGTTATAATTCACAGGTTGGTACAAATAAAATTTTCCATTTCTTTCTTGAGAAATGTTAGTCTGTCAGTCATGTCCAACTCTTTGCAACCCCATGGACTAGGGCCCACCAGGCTTCTCTGTTCATGGAATTCTCCAGGCAAGAATAACAGAGTGGGTTGTCATCTCCTACCCCAGGGGATTTTCTAAACCCAGGGGTTGAAACTGGGCCTCCTGCATTGCAGGCAGATTCTTTACCATCTGAGGCACCAGGGAAACCCTTCATTTTCTTTCTTAGACTAACTGATTAATTTTTCATTGACACTCATGGTGTAGTTGACAGGATATCAGAGACACCCACCGGAGGACACCAGGGGTCTACCTTGAATGGGCGCTCAGTACCAGCCTTCTGAGCCCCGCCGGCTTCTCTGTACTCCTCAGGTGTTCTGGTGAGCTCTCCTGATATCCAGATCTCACTGTTTAAGTGATGATCTTACAACTTTTATTTAAGGTTTTCTGTACGTGACTTGGAGTCTTAAGGGGCACTGGTGAATTTCCTTGGTAGAGTCCTAGGGAAGTCTGGGCAGGACGCTCAAAGAAACATAGGCAGCTGGGGTTTTGTTAATTTGGCTTCAATTAAGAAGAAAGAAAAAAAAAAAAAAGTCAATACATGGTCTGACCAAACAGTTTGCCAATGACACAAGCCAGCCTGCTCAGCCCCAAGAACAAGGGACATCAGCTCTTTCCCGCCACAAGGTGTCCCCAGGTGACTGAGAACCTAAGGGAGGTGTCCAGGGATCAATCCTCCAGATGACTAACAGCAGATCCCACTACAACACTGTTCTTCTGGGGACACACGAGATAAAAGCTGATCACCCAGTACTCCGAGCACCCATAGTGGTTTTAGACTGTCAGAGGGTGAAACTAAGATACGTAAAAAAGTCGAGCCGATCCTGGGGGTAACTCCCTGGAGAGCTAGACTCAGAAGCAGCACAAAGCTCATCAACCACACTGTCCTCAGGAAGTTGTTCAGATCATATCTCATCTCTGAATTAGGCAACCAAATCGATAATGGGAAACTGTGCTTCAGAGGCCGAACAGCTCACGGATGGACAGCCACCTATGGAGACACAAGCTGGGTTTATATAGAACTGATGTTTGCAAGTGCTTACTTAATTGGGAATTAAGAGAAATCCTGCCTTGAAATGACCAAGTTGGGATTCTTTTTTTGGCATTCCAGAACTGATTTTTGTGTGAACACTCAGAGGAAGCCAGCAGAGGATAATTGCTTACTATGTCAGCCAGTCTCTGGCTGACCCTGCCGGCAGGGTCTCCTGGAAACTAGAGTAATAAAAAGCTTTTCTTTTTTCTAAAGTTGGATTGTGTGCATGCATACTAAGTCGCTTCAGTCGTGTCTGACTCTGCAATCCTATGGACTGAAGTCCGCCAGGCTCCTCCATCCATGGGATTCTCTAGGCAAGAATACTGGAGTGGGTTGCCATGCCCTCCTCTAGGGGATCTTCCCGACCCAGGGATCGAACCTGCATCTCTATGTCTCCTGCATTGGCAGGCAGGGTCTTTACCACTAGTGCTACCTGGTAAGCCTTAAAATTGGGTTAGCAGCAGAAAATATTTGTGGGGCTAGTTTCTTGGATCATTTTAATTGGAAAGGCTCCTAATTGTTAAAATTTCAAAAAACTCATCTTAAACTATTTTACCTGTTTTAATCGGTATGCAAAAGCCCCAAGGCGGGGGACTTCCCTGGATGCCAATGGTTAAGAATGCAGATTGCAATAGAGGGGATGCGAGTTCTACTCCTGGTCAGGATAGATCCCACATGTTGCCGAGCAACTAAACCCACGCGCAACTACTGAGCTGCAACGAAAATCCCGCCTGCCCGCCTGCCGCAATGAAGACCCGACACAACCAAAAAAAAGTCTTCTTCATAAGTCTCCTGTCTTAAAGCAGGTTAAGGGCAATGCCACGTGTCTGGTGGGGATGGCAGAATATTCAGCCTCACGTTCTGAGGACACATCATCCAAGTGTTTAGGACATAGTATAGATGCCAGAGAGTATTTAGGTCAGTAGTTTCAGATCTGGGTAATTGCATCTCTTAAAAATAATTTTTTATTTATTTAATTTTATTTATTTTTGGCTGTACTGACTCTTCACTGCTGCACTCAGGCTTTCTCTAGTTGTGGCAAGTGAGCTTACTGTGGTGGCTTCTCTTGTTGTAGAGCCCAGGTTCTAGAGTTAGAAGGCTCAGTAGTTGCGGGGTGTAGGCTTAGTTGCTCTGCAGCATGTGGAATCTTCCCAGATTAGGGATCAAACCTGTGTTCCATGAATTGGCGGGAGAATTCTTAAACACTAGACTACCAGGGAAGTCCTGAAATTATATCTTGTAGCAACTACCAAGGACCTCTTTACAGTCCTTTAAATCCCTTCGAATGCTTATGTCCTTCCTTTAGCAACAGTCAGCACTGGGGCAAATGTAGCATGAGACACCCACACACATACACAATAAATAAATAGAATATATACACATTTAATAAGTAGAGTGTATATATGCATAATAAATAGGTATGAATGCATATAATATATACACATAATAAATACAATGATAACTACATTATATATTTTATATAAACTGTACATAATTTAGAGACATCAAGGGAACATTTCATGCAAAGATGGGCACCATAAAGGACAGAAATGGTATGGACCTAACAGAAACAGAAGATATTGAGAAGAGGTCGCAAGAATACACAGAAGAATTATACAAAAAAGATCTTCACAACCTAGATAATCACAATGGTGTGATCACTCACCTAGAGTCAGACATCTTGGAGTGTGAAGTCAAGTGGGCCTTAGGAAACATCACTACGAACAAAGCTAGTGGAGCTGATGGAACTCCAGTTGAGCTATTTGAAATCCTAAAAGATGATGCTGTGAAAGTGCTACACTCAATATGCCAGAAAATTTGGAAAACTCAGCAGTGGCCACAGAACTGGAAAAGGTCAGTTTTCATTCCAATCCCAAAGACAGGCAATGTCAAAGAATGCTCAGACTACCACATAATTGCACTCATCTCACATGTTAGCAAAGTAATGCTCAAAATTCTCCAAGCCAGGCTTTAACAATATGTGAACTGTGAAATTCCAGGTGTTCAAGCTGGTTTTAGAAAAGGGAGAGGAACCAGAGATCAAATTGCCAACATCCACTGGATCATCAAAAAAGCAAGAAAGTTCCAGAAAAACATCTATTTCTGCTTTATTGACTATGCCAAAGCCTTTGACTGTGTGGATCACAATAAACTGTGGAAAATTCTGAAAGAGATGGGAATACCAGACCACCTGACCTGCCTCTTGAGAAACCTGTATGCAGGTCAGGAAGCAACAGTTAGAACTGGACATGGAACAACAGACTGGTTCCAAATAGGAAAAGGAGTACGTCAAGGCTGTATATTGTCACCCTGCTTATTTAACTTATATGCAGAGTACATCATGAGAAACGCTGGGCTGGAAGAAGCACAAGCTGGAATCAAGATTGCCGGGAGAAATATCAATAACCTCAGATATGCAGATGACACCACCCTTATGGCAGAAAGTGAAGAAGAACTAAAGAGCCTCTTGATGAAAGTGAAAGAGGAGAGTGAAAAAATTGACTTAAAGCGCAACATTCAGAAAACTAAGATCATGGCATCCAGTCCCATCACTTCATGGCAAATAGATGGGGAAACAGTGGAAACAGTGACAGACTTTATTTTTTGGGGCTCCAAAATCACTGCAGATGGTGACTGCAGCCATAAAATTAAAAGACGTTTACTCCTTGGAAGAAAAATTGTGACCAACCTAGGCAGCATATTAAAAGGCAGAAACATTCATTACTTTGCCAACAAATGTCTGTCTAGTCAAGGCTATGGTTTTTCCAGTAGTGAGAGTTGGATCATAAAGAAAGCTGAGTGCTGAAGAATTGATGCTTTTGAACTGTGGTGTTGGAGAAGACTCTTGAGAGTCCCTTGGACTGCAAGGAGATCCAACCAGTCAATCCTAAAGGAGATCAGTCCTGAGTGTTTATTGGAAGGACTGATGTTCAAAGTGAAAGTTCAATACTTTGGCCACCTGATGCAAAGAACTGACTCATTTGAAAAGACCCTGATGTTGGGAAAGATAGAAGGCAGGAAGA